TGCATCGTCTTAACCACTAGGATACCAGTGGTTGATTGTTTTTGTTGTTGTTGATTGCCTTTGAGTCAAGCACGACTCACAGCAACCCTATAAACAAAAGGCCTGAAGCCTCTTTACAACTATCAACATTTATCAAAGTTCATAGGGTTTACAGAGGCAAGTTGTTTTAGGAAGTGGGTGCCACTCCTGCTTCCAATCCTGTCATAGAATGTTACTGAGTCTCCTGCGATGCATAGTGACCCTATGTACATAAGCTCTAAACCCTTCCCTGTCCTGAGCCAGTCTCAGTTATTCTGACACACCAACCCCCATCTTACTATATCAGTCCATCTTATCCGGGGTCTCCCTCTCCGGTGCCGTCCATCCGTTCTTCCGAGCATGATGTCCTTCTCCAAGGACCGATCTCTCCTGGCCATGTGCCCAAAGTAAGTGAGGTGGAGTTTCAAAATCCTAGCTTCTAAGGACAGACTTGGTTTCACCCTCTCCCAGACAGACCTATTTGTTTTCTTTGCAGTTCATGGTATGTTCAAGGCTCTTCTCCAGCACCACAACTTGAAGGCATCTGTTCTTCTTCTGTCATCCTTAGCCATTGTCCAGCTTTCTGAAGCAAAACAAGTAATTGAGAAAACCACGGCCTGGATTAGGCACATCTTTGTATCTAGACTGACATCGTTGCTTTTTCAGCACTCTGGAGAGGTCCATGACAGCAGATTTTCCCAGTGCAATTCTCCTTCTGATTTCCTGACTGCTGGTATTAAAGAGTGTTTATTGTGGATCTGAGCAAGCTGCAATTGCTAACAACCTCAGTCTCTTCTCCATCCATAATGGTACTGCCAATTGGTGAAAATCTTTGTCTTATTGATGTTGAGCTTCAGTCCATAATGAAAACTACAGTCCTTGACCTTTTGCAGCAAGTGCTTCAGGTCCTCCTCAATTTCAGTAAGCAGGGTTGTGTCATCTGCTTATCGTGGGCTGTTAATGAGTTTTTCTCCAATTTTTATGCCATACTCCTTCTCATAAAGCCCTGCTTCCCGAATGGTCTGTTCTGCGTACAGATTCAAAAGGTACAGGGACAGGATGCATCCCTGACACACCCCTTTCTTGATTTTGAACCATGCAGTGTTTCTTTGCTCTGTTCTGAGGATTGCTTCTTGGTCCAAGTATAGATTTCATGTAAGCACAATCAAGGGTTCTGAGATTCCCATTTTCCTCAAGGTTAGCTGTACTTTATTGTCATCCACACAGTCAAATGCCTTTGCATAGTCAATGAAACACAGATATACATTTTTCTTATACTCTCTGCTTTCTTCCAAGATCCACCTGACATTGTCAGTAATGTCCCTAGTGCCACAACCTCTTCTAAACCCGGCCTGTATTTCTAGTAGTTCTCTGTCAATGTACTGTTCAAGTCTTTTCTGGATAATCTTCAGCAGGATTTTGCTAGTGTGTGATATTAGTGATACTGTACGATAATTTCCACACTATGTCGGGTCACCTTTTTTTTTTAAAAAATGGGAATAAATATGGATCTCTTCCAGTCAGTTGGCCAAGTAGTTGTCGTCCAGGTTTCTTGGCACTACTTGGTAAGCACATGCAGGGCAGCATCTGTTTGCTGAAATACGTCTATTGGTATTCCATCAATTCCTGGGGCTTTAGTTTTTGCCAGGTCCTTCAGAGCAGCCTGAACTTCCTCCTTTATCACCATTACCTCTTGATCATATGTTGTTTCTTGAAATTCTTCTGTGTCAGTCAATTGTTTTTGGTACAATGACTTATATACTGCTTCACTGTGTAGTACTTTATAATTTGCATGTTTTCTCAAATGTTTGTAATAGCATACAATTTTTTTTTACCAGAATATAAGCCTCACAAAAAAGGTCTTTTCTTGTTCACAGCTCTTATCTCTGGTATCTAATAAATGTACTCAATGCACAGTGACTGTTCAGTGAGTAAGGTAATGAATGAGATACTGTTGAGTTTTTGATAGAGTGCTAGTCGATTTGGGATATTGAAAAAAATTCAGAGCCTTGAAGTGCTGGCTTGACTAACTCTTAAGAATATGCTCATCGATGTTTTAGTCCTTTCCTTTCATTTGAAGTTAAGCTGTGTAAGACAAAGATGACACATTACTTTTGTTGCTAGGTTAAAAAAGTCTTGGTGGTGATGTTGTTGTTGTTAGGTACTGTCAGGTTGAATACAACCTATAATGACCCTATGAACAGTAGATCTGAACCCTGTCCTATCTTGCACCATCTTCACACTTCCTGACACATTAGAGCCCATTGCAGGAGTCATTGTATCAGTCCACCTGGTTGAGGGTCTTCCTCTCCTTCACCGACCCTCTGCCCTTCCCAACATCATGTCCTTCTCCAAAGCCCCTCATAGCAACATGCCCAGAGTATGTGAAGCGCCTCATCATTGCCTCCAAAGAGCACTCCAGCTGCACCCTCCCAAGACCTACTTGTTTGTTCTTTTGGCCATCAATGGGATGTTCATAATTACTCTTCTCCAACAACCACAACTCAAAGGCATCATTAACTCTGTCATCCTTATTCACTGGTGGTGGTAAGATGAGTTAGAAGAATATAATCTGTAAAAAAAGAGAAATAACATAAAAGATAAAAGATTTAAATTAAAACTAGCTCCTGTTTTTCAGTCAGGCCTTCATCTACTTAAAGCCTGACTAAGCTTGATTTAAATAAAGTACTGCTTTTGTATTTTTTGGGGGGCCTGGTCATACTTTAAAAATGTCTATCATCACTTCTTTTTGTGATCTTTATTATTTCATACCATTTTTTGGGCTATAAATTTGTGTAGTTTTTTTCTGTATTTGTCTCAGTTTTCCTCTTTTTGACTTATCCCTAAGAATTTTCTCCCCATACATTTCTGCATACTCTTGCAACTTTTCAAATACTGTTGAATTTGTTTTTAAGGCAGTTTCTGTATTTTTAAGTCATGTGTGGTACAGTTTGTGTAGTGGACTTTCTGCAGTGTTGGACATTCTCATTTAATACAGTACCTGCTAGTTCTTAATAGCTATTGGATACTTGGAAGGTGACTACCGAAAATGAGGAACTGAATTTTTGATTAGCAGGCTATATGTTCTTGTCTACTCCATCAGAGCTCACTGAAAGGGAATTTTAAAAATTTATTTCACTTTAGTTTGCTTTCCTGCTGCGGAAGATTTTAACCATTACTTATAAACAATTTTTTATATAAAAATGACTTAACAAGACCTCCAGGTACAGCATCCATGGCTGCAGCAGCCATAGAAGAGAACCAGAGACCGGGCAGGAGACAGAGCTGACCTTGGGACTGCTACCTCATAGAACTAGAGTGAGGAGCTTTTTCTCAAGTTTGTTAGAGAACTGAGCAAAGTTGGGGGAAGGGAGACAATGAGAGTTTTTTAACACCGGCCTAAAGCCAGGAAGCTGAAGGCTGAGGAGCAGGAATCTGTCCTGACTGATTGCTGCCCACCTGAATTAGAGCCTTTTGCTGTCCCTAATACACTATCACAGTGGGGGGTCGGGGGGGGTGGGAACCAACTTCAAATTCTTTATTATCATCACCACCAGTAATCTAGAAATGAAATTTTGCACTAATACAAAACCTTCCTGTGAGATTTATGAAGTGTTTAAATTTTATTTTTGAGTGAAAGGTTATAAATCATACTGGTTTTTCATTCTTAGACATTTTATTTATAGCATTAAGTATAATTGATTAATTTATTACAATGTTTAATCAAACCTTTACTGTATATAGCCTTTCCCTGCACCCAGTTTATCTGTGTATTAATTTTTATTTCCTCTCCCTATCTTTTATTCCTGTTTCATTCTGTATATGTCTCTCCTTAGCTTTCTATTGGACGTTGCTTTATAATCAATCAGAACTGACTCATAGCCGGCCCTACAGTGGGTTTTCCAAGGCCATTTAATTGGAGGAGATTGCCTGTCTTGCTCTCATAGAGCAGCTAGTGGGTTTGAACCATGTGCCTTTGGGATGCCAGTGCATAGTATGGTTAAATAGTTAAAACTGATACTTTGGCTTCCTTTCTAACATCTATTGTTTTTAGAATCAGCTTGCAGTGGTTAATTTCCCTGATTCACATTTACTTGTCCTCTTGGCTTCCCTGTGCCTTTAGTTATGTAAAATACTTGCACTGAGTGGGACTGACTCCTGGTTAGATCTTCTAAATTCCGGCAGTAGGGTCTCATCTAATGTCCTGGAGACAGTATCCTCCTTTGTAAGGGAGTATCTTATGCTGAATCCTGAGCTAGTTATTTTTCTTGTCAAAAAATATCTGTTGTTTTTTTAATCATTGTCTTTCTTCTGTTTATTGGGAACTGTATGTAAACTTTTAGATGAAAGAGCCCTTTAACTTTGAACTGGAGATAATAATACGTTAAGTAAATTAGTAGTTGACCCAGGTATAAAAATACATAACTGTCTAAAGATGGGGAGGCTCTCTTGGAGAATTATCTTATTATCTCCCAGATCTGTGATTAAATGTATGAATATAATAATCCCATCTTGGGACTGTGGAAAAGGACCCCTGTGTCCAGTAATGCTTACTGACTGTTGTATTATCCAGCATTTTATATTGACAAGCCTAAAAATCCTTACCTTGTGCATTAATGACATACATCAGTCAGGCAGTTGGACTGGCTGTAGTGGCTAAGGTTGTGTGTCACCTTGGCTGGCTGATGATCCTCAGTGGTTTACAGCTGTGGAGTGATAAAATTTGACAGTTATGTTTGCAGTTAAGCAATGATATAATTTGACATTTGTATAATGATATGTTGTTGTTAGGTGCTGTCAAGTCAACCACAACTCATAGTGACGCTATGAATAGCAGCTCCGAACTTTGCCCTGTCCTGGAACATCCTCACCATTGTCACGCTCAGGCCCGTTGAGGCAGTCACAGTGTCAGCCCATCTTGTTGAGGGTCTTCCTCTTTTTTGCTAATTCTCTACCTTTCCCAGTACAATATCTTTCTTCATCCTGGATCCTACTGAAAATATGACATAGTCATCTTCCTTTCTATATACTGCTATTTTTGTATGATGTCTTAAGAACTTAACTACTGTTACCATAAAGTGAGAAGTTGTTATGTCAGAATGGACTCATAGCTGACGTTGGTCAATTTTCACCAGCAGGAAATCTCACTGGAGGAGATTGCCCTTATTTTCTTCCTCAGAGCAGCAGGCTAGTGATGTGATGTGAACCATGTGCCTTTGGGTTGACACTATGACTTCTTATCACTAAGTCACCAGAACTCCCTAAGTCAGGAGTATGTGTATGGATATACAAAAAGAAAGAAGTATCATTACATTTTCTCCAAACTCTTCCCGCCTCCCTTTTTTTAAATAGATTTCAGGTGCTTTAAAAAAGGACTTGAGTTTTAGAGCTCCTAGTAAGCTCCCCAAAGTTAAGAGAGCCATTTGAGTGGTTCTGTACTGTTAAATTGGGCTAACAGCCAGAGCAGAGGCTCCCTTTGAGATGCTGATTAAATGGAGACTCATGAGACTATACAGATAGTAATTTGCAGTTTAATTTTTGGACCACATAACAGATATTTTCAAACTTTAAACATGGATCATTTATAACTACAGAGTCAGGAGTTAACCAGTGATGAAAGCTGTTCTGTCTTTGTGAGTTGTGTTGTCTGGGAGACGAGGACCTGTGCCTCACCCTCACAGTCACAGCAAGCAGACTTCACAAACCCCAGCTCATGCCACTGTGCTTGTTTCTTGATGGAATTAGTGTTTGGTCTCGGTGTTTATATAGCTTACCTTCATGTGGAGAATCTTGGATTTTTAAATTTATAACCTTTTAACATTGCATAGAAGAAGATAGGCAGTCCATTTCATATAGATGGTGTTGAGAAGTGGCCGTATGGGTAACTCTGATTGTAGTTTTTAATATTAGGAGTTTGTCTTTGTAAAAGATGTGCAAGCACATGGGAATGGATATTTATTATGTTAATTTTGATCTGATGTTCCTGTTTTCCCCTTAAGATGTTTTCAAACTGCAGTAAACAATCAATCTATAAGACTATTGAAAGTAAGTCCCAGGAGTGTTTTCAAGAACGCAGCAACAAAGTGTGTGGCAACTCCAGGGTGGATGAGGGAGAAGAATGTGATCCTGGCATCATGTACCTGAACAACGACACCTGCTGCAGAAATGACTGTACGCTGAAACCAGGTGTGCAGTGCAGGTGAGAAATACTCCAGCAGTGAGTGAGGGTTAATGAATCAAGGTATCCACAAGCAGCAGATTGAGATCACAGGGCCTTTCAAACCAAGATGTGTGTGTATGTGTGGTGTGGAGGGGTGGTACATGGGTGTGTGTACCCCTTTTCCTTTGTAGCAAAAGACATGCGTTCTGAGCAGCAGTTTGACATGATATACTCTAATCCTTATCCTTACATATCATTTTATTAAGTTTTCACATAGGTTAAAGAATACTTTTTAATGAAGCAGATGTATAAGAAAGATAATTTAAGGATATTCATTGCCTGTTCTTTCATAACAATAAAATATTACAAACATTTAAAATTACAAACTTGGGATTATATAAATGGGTTAATTTATGTCCATACAGTAGAATAGTATTCCAGAATGCTACTTATAGGCATAAACTAAACATGAAGGAAATAGATTAAAAATGAGAAGGTCCTTGTATTTGCCATTTTTAGTTCACTAATAGACCAAATGATTGTAAAGCATAGTAATTTTTTTTTGTTTTTTGTTTGTTTTGTTTTTTTGCATAGTAATATTTTAATTAGTGTTTTTAGTAGGGTTTTGCTGACTCGTTGTCCGAACCATTGATTACTTGCAGGTTTAGCTTCTTTTTTTAATGTATTAAAGTATAAAAAACCAAGGATACCAGGATAGTTCAGTGATATCCATTTCTGACCTCTCTGTTGAATGTGCACACTTCTCCTGAGTGGTCTTTAGCTTGCCCCTGAGTCATCCAGGAGATCCAGATCCCCTCCCCAGTGGTCTTCAGGTCACTGTAGCATGGCCTGCTTATTTGATGTGGGTTGTCATTTGAACTGATCTGTCTGCCTTCTTCAGTGATAGGAATAGTCCGTGTTGTAAAAACTGCCATTTTGAGACTGCCCAGAAGAAGTGCCAAGAAGCTATTAATGCTACTTGCAAAGGCGTGTCTTACTGCACAGGTATGGACTCTCACTAGTTCTATTTGAATGGTTTGGTGTGAGTGCCACTGTGTGTGTTTGAAAAAGAAATTTATTTTCTGTCATCACAGGAGTCTAGAGCGAGGGCTGCATGGTGGAGGGGACCTGGGGGAGGGGGGGTTGTGGAACAATGAAAGAATCTTTTCTTTTACTTTTCCATAATTTTTGACTCATGTACTTATAAGTTTTTAGTCAAATCTGTGTCTTCTAGGTTGCAACACCCCCATGATACATCTTCAAGGATATGAACATGTATGGCCAAGCACAATCAATACGATTGCATCTAAATTCCAAAATCAATCTCCATAATAGTCTATGTGTTTCCTACTGCCAAAGGGGCCCTTTAGAGTAGTGAGAGAAGATCTTCACCCTGAAACCCACAGCGTCCCTTTTCAGCAGGAAGTAGCTAAGAGAATACGCCATCCCCTTTTCCTTATGACTCAGGGTGAAGTCTCTCTCAGGGAGGAGTGATAGGGAATGGCAAAGGACACACTGACAGAGAAGATTAATCAGAACTGGCTTTGACAAGCACTGTGGCATTTGGACAAGAACAAACTGGGAGGAGGGTAGAGAGAATGGTGCAGCAGTGAATGAATGGAAACCCAAAATCTCTGTAAATGTTTATGAAAATTAATAAAATATAATTATAGAAAAAAAAAGAAAAGAAAAGAAATTTATGTTTGTCCACATGAAAGCAGCCTTTATTGGCCTTATGAGCAGAGTGGAGTGGGCCACGTGCCTTGGTTTGCGCCACTGTCGTTGGTCTATTTGAGAGATATAATATTTGCTCCAGATGTGCAGAGATGCCTGAAAAAGTGTTTTGTATATTGATGTGTTTTTAATGTACTACGATGATATTCTACTGTATATCTACATTTTTAAAAACAGTGCCATGTTTTAAGGAATTATCTATCTCTTTATCAGTATCTAGTTATTTTGTATAATTAGTAATTTTTTATATTTGCATAGTATTCAGTTACTGGATTTACTGTTTAATTTATTCCTCTCTCAAATGATAGTTATTTGGATTGCCTTAATCTCTTCCATGCTACATATAGGACTACAATAAGCATCCACATCTTTGTTTAAGAGTTTCTCTGGGTACATAAACAAGTGAAATTGTTGGTCATCAAGCAGGGTTCTACTTTGGTCTCTAGACTAGCATCCCTGTTTTTTGTCAGTCCCATCATAGCTGCACCAGAGTTCCTGGGTCTGTTGCTCTGTCAGTACTTGTTAAGTATATATCCATTCTTACATTTCCCCCATTGTGTTGAATATAAATGATTTCTCTTTTTTATTTACATACTCTTTGAATATCTATTTTCATACTTACTAGTTATTCAGGAGTTGGTGAGGTTGGCTTAGGATATAGGACAAGGTTCAGAGCTGTTGTTCTAAGATCTCTGTGAGCTGTTGTCAGTGCAACAGCATGTAACAAAAATAACAGTCACATTTCTTCCTCTGTGACTCACCAGTTCATATGTTTCCATCTTTAAAAATCAGGTTTCAGGTTTTTTTTATTATTGATCTTGGAGCCCATGTAATATGTTGTTTTTCTTGTTATGTGCTATCAAGCTGCCTGTGACTCATAGCGACCCTATGTACAACAGCCCTAAACTCTGCCCTATCCTGTGCCAATCTCACTGTCTCCGACACACCTACCCTGATTACCCCAGACACTGAATCAGTTCATCTCATCGAGGGTCTTCCTGTCCTATGCTGTCCCTTCACCCTCCCACACATAAGGTTCCTCTCCAAGGACTGGTCCCTCCTTGCAACATGTCCAAAGTATGGCAGACCAAACTTCAGAATCCTTGCTTCCAAGAAGCAGCCTGATTTTAACCTCTCCAAGACGAATCTGTTTGTTCTCCTAGCAGTCCGTGGTATGTTCAGTATTCTTCCACAGCACCACAGCTCAAATGCATCAATTCTCCTCCTTTCATTCTAGTCATTGTCCAGCTCTCTGATGCATAGCAAGTGATTGCAAAGATATGGCCTGTATCAGGTGCACCTTAGTTTCCAGACTGACATCATTGCTCTTCAATAATTTGGAGATGTCTCTTTTTTTTTCCTTTCTTTTTTTAAATTTATTTTATTATTTTTGTGTGAGTGTACCGTCAAATCAGATCTGACTGGTACAGGAGGAGATTGTCCCTCCTTCCCCGGCAGAGCATCTGGTGGATTCGAATGGAGATGTCTCTTAACGGTAGATTTTTCCCAATGCAATACGCCTTTTAGGTTCCTGGCTGATGGTGCCAAGAGTATAGATGTGGAACCAAACAAATGAAAGCTGTCCATTTACTTAAACATTGCCTGTATTTTCTTGCTGTCTGTTGTACTTGGAACAGAAATTTTTGTCATAATCAAAATTTCTCACTTTGTGTGTGTTCCTAACAGTCTTATACACATGTATATGTGATTGTTTAATTGTGGAAGGGTACAGAGTGTTTCCTACCACTTCTACTAGCTTCATTTTACATTTAGGACTTTGATCCATCTGGACCTAACCTTTAAATCTTATTCTGATTACACCTACTATATTTCTTTTGTCAGTTGTTGCTTTATATATTTCAAAGTCATAAATGAACGTATTCTTTATCTTTTTTCATATTTTGACCCCTGTGAGGTGTTTTGACTAAAATTTTATTATTCCTAGTTTTGTTAGTCTGATATGCTTTTTTTAAAAAAAAATTTAAACTGATTGATTTAGAGTTTGAATACATTGTGCCACTGGTGGGTTCTAATCACCAGAGAAGCACTACTTTTGTTTTCTATATATGAGAAGTCTGACTATCTGAAGTGTTTTAAAAACACTTCCTAACTATGTTGAGTGTTTTTTATTTCAATAAAACAGATTCAGAAACATGTAGTAAGATCCTGTAGTGATACTATGACAAAACAAAGTGAACTCTTGCCCTATCCTCTGGTTTCTCATTGTTGCTGTCACTGTGTCAGCCCATCTACTTGAAGGCCTTTCCCTTGTTTCCTGACACTCTTTTTCAAGCATGTTATCTTTTTTCCTAAGGACTGTCAACACAAGTAAAGTGTGTGAGCTGAAGTTTCACCATTCTTGCCTCCATGGAACAACATTGTGATTGTACTTTCTATAAAAGAAATTGATTTGTTCTTCTGCCAGTCTGTGGTATATTCAGTCCTCTCTGCTAGCACAATTCAAAGACACCAGTTGTTCAGTAAAAAGAATGAGGTTGGTGTGAGGATGGCCATATTTGACCTCTACTCTGATGTTCTCGTGTTAGAAGCTGTGCTTCAATCCCAAAGGCATGTTGTTTGAATCCACGGGTTGATCCTCCGGAGAAGGATGGGCAGTCTTCTCCTGTGTGGTTTATTGACTCTAAAAACCTACCAGAGGGTCAGCTGTGGGTCAGTTTCAATTCATCGGCGCACAGCCACAGTAACGAATTCTGCAAGGGGGAACTGCCCCTGTGTACAGCATCCAAAATACAAAACCAGTTCTGTTGAGATCAGGCGTGTCCCACATTCTCCACACCTCTTTCTCTTAATTCCAATGCCAATTCTACTGTTCTGCTGTGTTCAGAATCCATTGTAATAGCTACACAGACCTAACAGAACCATACTCAAGATTATAGAGTTTAACCACACTCACAATTAAGACATCCCTCTGTCTTCCAGCAAGCTTGGGCAAAGGCTCCCTGCTCTTGGCTCTGTGGAGTAGCAGCCCCAGGCCAGCTCAGTCTCACGTGGGTCTCTGGTTCTCTACGGCTGCTGCTGCTGCACTCCTGTGGACCCTTGTCTGACTGCCACAGCAATCTCTGGTCCCAAAGGCATTTGCTTAGAGCAAAATCCTCAAGTTTCTGTGGCTCAGATGACTCAGTTTAAACCTGGTGGAATGGCAAAAGTAGCCAATCCCCTTGTAGATAGATAGACTAATACATCCTATTTGCATATTCCCATCCAACTATGTGGCAAAGTCAAGGGCAGTGACCTAGGAAAGTAATTTTTTAACAATAGATCATCTACACCCCAGTCTTCTTTATTCCTCACCCAACTTTCACATGTGTATAAAGCAGTTGAGGTCAGGGCATGCTTTTTTTCAGAACCTTTATAGTTTTCATTTACTCTAGGTGCATTGAAAGCTATTAAGGAACTTTGGGAAATCCAAGACTAATGTGTCTACTACGTATAAAACAAATTGATGGTCTCTTTGAGTGAAAACATAGAGATTACTGAGAAAACTATTGCAGTAGATGGGAGTTCTGGTGGCTTAGTGGTAAGGAGCTGCTCCGCTAACCCAAAGGCACTCGGTTCAAATCCACCATCTTCTCCACAGGAGAAAGACGGGTGATCTCCTCCCATGCTATTTTCTTCCTCTGAAAATCTGCTGGAGGATCAACTATGGGTCACTTTTGACTCGAATGTACACAACAACAATTGCAGTAGAAAGATGATGATAAGAGATATTGGCCCCTTGGACTAAAGTAGTTGTTATTGTTGTATGCCATGGAACTGCCCCATGTCTGACCCTCCAGTGGGTTTCTGTGGCAGTAAATTGCATGGGAGGAGATTGCCCATTCTTCGTCTGCAGAGCAGCTGGTGGATTTGAACCACGGGTCCTTGGAATTGATTGCAGTGCAGCTTTTTAACACTAGGAGACCAGAGCTTGGACTTATGCAGTAGCATTGAATGTGTGTGACACTGGGTGGATTCAAGATCATTTTAAAAGTAGAAAGACAAGACTTGCTCATGGCTTAGACATAGTCATGAGGGAGAAAGCTAGTTCACAACTGAAATTGTGTAGTTTGCCGAAATGAGAGCAAAGGAGTGATATTAAAGTTAAATTTTTAGTTTCAGCTTTGTATATGATGTCTAATTAGAGATGTCAAATGCAGTCTTGGAACTTGAAGATGAAGTTTGGGTTGGTGCTCTAATGTTAGTCAGTCAACATATAGATGGAAATGAATGAAATAATCTAGGAAAGTAGAATAGAGAAGGACTTGTCATTTCTGAGATTGGGCGGAAGGGTGATGGGGGTAGCTGTGTTAGAGACAATGAAATTGGCTCAAGATGAATCACAAGTGACTCGATGGCACCTAACAGCAAACAACATGACTGCCTTTATGCTACAGCCATGGAGCTGAGCAATTGTGATAGAGACCATCTGTCCAGGATTTATTGTCTGCAGAAGTCATGTGCTGACCCTGGGTATGCTGTTGTCAGGTGCTCTGGCGTCAGCCTCACCTCATGGTGGCCCTCTCATGACAGAGCAGAACCCACGGGGTCATCTTTATGGGAGCAGATCACTAGGCCTTTACTGCTGTGGAGCTCTTAGTGGGTCTGAACTGCTGACCTTTCTGTTAACAGCAAACATTGAAACTTTGTACCCTTTACGTTCCTGACCCCTGCTTAGCCATGCTTAAAGTATGTGGTAAGAGTATAACTAAAGGCATAAGAATGAACACAGTATTTAGGATACTGAGCTTCTGAAGTAATGTTACACAGGCATTTATTTTCTTGGAGATAACAGTACATATATATTACCTCCTTCTGTAGAGTCAGTTCTCATTTATAGGGACCATCCATTGAATTCCTGTGGCTGTAAATCTTTATAGCAGAGATTCCCATCTTTCTCTCACAGATCAGCATGGGGATTTGAGATGTCATCCCTCTGGTTAGCCTAGTGCCACCAGGACTCCGTATTGTTCATGGTCTATGTTGTATCACAGTCTTGTTGTTTGGGCTCCTTAACATACATTGTTGTTGCTGTTGATTGCTGTCGAGTCGAGCACAACTTATAGCGACCCTATGAACAAAAGGCCTGAAGCCTTTCTATAACTGTCATCATTTATCAAAGTTCATAGAGTCTCTAGCGGCATGTTGTTTAGAAAGTGGACGCCACTCCTGTTTCCAGCATAGGAGTTCTATCATAGTGTGGTGTGCAGTTGAATCTCGTGTCTCAGTGACCCTGTAAGACAGTATAACTGCTCCCTCGGGCTTCCTCAGCTGCGATCTTTACATGGGCAGACTGCTGGGTCTTTGTCCTTCAGAGCTGCTGGTGGTTTGAGCCTCACAACTTTAGTTTGCAGTTGAGTGCTTAACCATTGCACCATCATGGTTCTTATATATACATACAGAAAAGGAAAATGCATTGAGGTTGTGAAGGCGCGTAAATAAACTTTGAACTACAGACATGGGGACAGCGCTTCATAGTCCCTTACCCTGTGTGTGAATATAGACCCATGAGAGCAGGGCCTTGGGGAGCCAGTGTTTGGCATGGGGCCAGGCACTGATTCAGTGCTTATTGGCTGGTTGGGAATAGGTCATTCTCCCTCTTGCACTGCGGATCACTGTGACTTATGAGAAACTTCAAGAACAGATAGACATGTGACTCTGATATATGTGCTTCCAGGTAACAGCAGTGAGTGCCCCCCTCCTGGAAATGCAGAAGACGACACAGTTTGCTTAGATCTTGGAAAATGTAAAGATGGAAAATGTATCCCCTTCTGTGAGCGGGAGCTGAAGCTAGAATCCTGTGCATGTAATGGTGAGCATACTTCCATGCTGAGTCCCTGCAGGAGAGAAGATGGCATTTCCCCCATCCCCACCCCGGGGGCATCCTTCCTTTTTTTGAGGCCTGGTATGCTATTGTCTTGGACATTCAGGGCCATGGTTTCATGGGATACTCCTATCACTGCCTAATGGTGTCAAACTAGTAGGATAAAGGGAAACATTATGTATCATTTGAAATAGAATAGTTTGGCTTTTAAGAGAAGTTTGTGTGGTATAAATTAAAGGAGACTATCTGTTATTGTTTACTTTGTGGCTTCAGTAGCTGTCAAAGCTGCGGAGTGGTTGGGAATTATCCTTGGAATGACCTATCAAGTGTTAGCTTTTGAATTATAAACAAAATGTGATATATTCCTTCTTTGGGACCATGATCAGAGGACAAAGGAGGAGGAGGAGGCTGGGTCTCTAAGATTCTCCAGCTGGTGACACATGCTCTTTTTTAGAAACTGACAACTCATGCAAGGTGTGTTGCCGGGACCCCTCTGGCCGGTGTGTGCCCTATGTTGATGCTGAGCAAAAGAACTTATTTCTGAGGAAAGGAAAGCCTTGTACGGTGGGATTTTGTGACATGAATGTGAGTATTTATTTGATATGGTATGACCTTTTCTGTAATAGAAAGACTGATTTTTTTATATTATAAATATTTGACTTTATAAATGGGAGGAAATAAAGACACATATACTCTATGTTTTTTCCTTTATTTTTGTTTAAAGGAGTATTTTTTTTTAAAGCATGCATGAGTAGTTAAGGAAGAGGCTAAGTGTTTTGAGGTAACTGGATATAGTCTCCCTACAGCAGGAGACTGAGCCCAGAGATTGCAAAGGATCATAGATGGTACTTTTTTAAAAAAAGGGTTTTGGACAATGAGTCCTAGTTATCTGTTTTCTAATTATAGAATTGATTAGGATTATAAAGCTGTTTAAACTGTGATTCCTAGCTGAATGACTAGGAAAAAGTAAAAACCAACTAATTAGGAAATGTCAGTGACAGTGCATCTAACCTCCTTAGGTGTTTATCACACTTAAATTATTACCCAGTGTCAAAGATTGGCTCTTAAATGTTTGATTTTTGTGTTTACAAATCCGTGTTGCTTCTAGATAGGCTTTCTTTGGGATCATGCCATTTCTTTTCTTTTCATAGGGCAAATGCGAGAAACGGGTGCAGGATGTGATTGAGAGATTCTGGGAATTCATCGACAAGCTTAGCATCAATACTTTTGGTAGGTGATTTCCTGAGTGTTCTGTACTTAGAACAGAAATAATTTTTGGAAGAATACTTGAAGAATGTGGATACAGAATGATAGGGCTAGTCTTGAAATAGAAGGTAGAAATATTTACTTCTTTTGTTAGTAAACAAGTTTGTCAGCCAGAAGAAAATGGACTCAGTGTAAGTTTCTCTGTGTAGCATGGATGCACACATTTTCAGACAAGTGAAATACTTTAATCAAAATATTGGCTTGCTTTGTTACTAAAAAAAGGAACACATGATAGAATACACATGGTTCATTCTGAAAGATTCCAAGCCTGAATCGTGTTCAAGGCATATATTTTAAAGTCAGTGCTCAGATTTTTGCAGAAGCAAGAATGTTGATGTCCTCTTCAGTTTGGTCACAAAAATAATATCCAGCTGCCGCCTTCTGCAGTCTTTACCAGTAGTAAGTAGTATATTCCATGTTAGTTTACTGACTCATTTATTTTATGAAATATGTAGTCAATGTGTCGTCTAGTTTTAGTAAATTACTTTGTAATCTAGTCTAATCAACAAGTGTACATGCCTTTTATTTGGGCCTAATACGGGAGTCATGGGACAGTTTTCATACTGTCAGTGGTACCACCCAGGCAAGTGACTGCCATTTAACACAATGATACTATTCTAAGAGCCTTTTAGACTTGTAAACGGCTAGACCAAAAAGGTGCCTAGTGGCGTAATGTGTAATGTGTTGGGCTACTAACTGGTTTGCATCTGTATGCCACTCTGAGGGAGAAAGATGTCAGGGTCTTGTGTTCTGTAAAGATTTACAGTGTTGGAACACTGACGGAAGATCACACTGAGTTTGAGCCAACATGACAGCAGTGTGCTTTGTTTTTTATCAAGACATTCAATGATTGCCTTTGTTCACAGGGAAGTTTTTAGCGGACAACATCGTAGGTTCAGTCCTGGTTTTCTCCTTGATATTTTGGATTCCTTTCAGCATTCTGGTTCATTGTGTGGTAAGTCGTAGTTTTAAATGATTGATTAGCATTTTTTTAACGTTTTGAGCAACTTTAACCTCAGTCTTTCAAAAAGATCCTTTATACTCAGCAAAACCTAACTTCAGTGTTTCAAATAATGTGTTTTGTTGTCATCTTTAGGAAAACATCTTTTAAAAACTTAGCTAATTTTGAACTATATTTTTGTAGATGTTTAGTCTTGAACTATATTTTAGTAGGTGTTCATTCTAATAGAATTTTTGAGGACTTTTATATTTATAAATACAAGACAGGATGAGATAGATTGATTCAGTGACTGGGGTAATGGGGGTAGGTGTTCAGAGACAATAAGGTTGGCTCAGGATAGAGCAGGGTTCAGAGCCATTGTACATAGGATTGCGATGAGTCACACACAACTCGATGGCACTTAACAACAGACACAGGACTGTTTAACCAAACCTTAGTCTTAGACTCTGATAAATAAAGCTTCTAAATAAGAGCATTTTCAGACTAAATTTATTATACTAGAACAAATGTTAAGCATCATCCTTCCAAAAATGTTAGAATATTCACATTATTGTATAGGGTGCCCAAGCCACCCAATAACTGTGAGCAACTTATTTTATTCTCTCTTAATTCTGTAACACAAGTTGAACTGAGCTTGAAGAACTCCAGGGAGTTTAGGTTTTTCACAAGTCTTAAAAATCTATTAACTCTCCTTATGAAAAAAAAAAAAAAAAGATAAAATTATTTATCTGCTTAAGAGAGAAAGAAATCAGACCTAGACTTCCAGGATGGTATTCTAAAATGTTCTTATGATATCCCTCATATGAGTTCTGAAATAATTCATACCCAGGTAACTAATGACAGGAATGCCTTTAATTTTTCTTTTGTGCCTTTTTGGAATGCCTTTAATTCCTTTCCTTTTCCTCTGGACTGCTTACTTTCTCTCACTGAGCTACTTACTGGTGTGGCTGCCCTGCAAGCCACGTGGCCAGAAAGAAGGTCCTCTTTATGTCCCTTCCTCAGAGCGGTGAATACAAGGGACGCACCTGCCCCGGCCAGAACAGGCTGCTTGAAGGTGGCCTGTGGAAGCTTTGTGTATATCCTGATGGAATTCCTGCCCATGGCTGCCCGCCCCTGGGAGTTGATCCCACTTTGTGTACAATGAAAGTTGTGCTTGTGGAATGTGAGGCAGAGCCTTGATTTTAAAACGAGACATGAGGATGAGTGTGGTGACTTGCTGGCCACAGACCTAATTCACAGCAGCCAGAGGAGAAGCTGAGGCTGGGATTCTTGAGGATGGCCTCTTGCCTCGCCCGTTGTCACTGTCACGCTTCAGCCACTGGCATGGATCAGGGCAGTGATGGCTGGATGTGTTTAGCTTCCGGAGAGGACTTAGGAACTTGAGGCTGTCCCTCAAACAGAACTCTCCCCACCAAAGTTAGGGGCACAGAGGCTGTGAGAATGACTGAGAGGCAGGGCACAGCAGGCAGGGTGGTGAGGCCCGTGCTGGGGGAGGCCATCTGCTGGTCACCCCTTTCATGGGTGGCCTGGGAACTGGAGCCAATCTGTCCCACAACAGGAATTGTCCTTGTGTTCCTGGAAAGAAATGTCTGAAAAATAGTACTTAACCCGAACCTATTTATGAAATGAATGCAAAAAAATTTATTTCTTTTGAGTGTAAACACTTCAGCCTTGATATTTTCATCTCTCTTTTGAACCTACTTATCATTGTCAGTGCAAGTTGCAGGCTACATCCATTCATGAACTACATTTATAGCAATGACATTTTTCCTTTTCTTCTCTTTCTAGGATAAGAAATTGGATAAGCAGTATGAATCTCTGTCTCTTTTTCACCCCAGTGTAAGTATACTACCTGAAAAAAAGTTTTTCTGTTGCACGTTAAGACTCTCTTAGGCAAAGTGAGCGACCTCTGGTCTCATGTAGGCCTCCGTCAGCTGCCAGGCAGGAGCCCTCAGCCCCTCAGCTGAGCCGCCTTTTGCTAGTGGTAGGTCACATTACAGCCAAACGTGGAGCTGCTGGAAACTTTGACAACAGCAGCGTTGAAAACTTGAGTTTTTAGTTAAATCTCCCAACTTTCAGATGGACACTCCCTTTTTCTCTCTTAGGGTCTTAACATGATAGGATAGTTTATTCTGAGTTCTCTTGGGTCCTCAGAATTGTAAACTGACAGAATGACATTTGAAAGCTGTTTTGAGTCACTTCTCAGGCTGAGGAGTTGCTTACCTAGTCCTGTAGTTAGCAGGAGGGGTCACGGTGTGGACAGCGTAAAAGCAGTTTCGTGGGTAAAGGTGGTGAACTGTAAACTTTGATTCACCTCTGTTAACCACAAAACTCATGTCTTTTCAGAATGTCGAAATGCTAAGTAGCATGGATTCAGCATCAGTTCGCATTATTAAACCATTTCCTGCGCCCCAGACCCCTGGGCGTCTCCAGCCCCTGCAGCCCACCCCCGTGATGCCCCCATTGCCAGTGGCTCCGAAACTGGACCACCAGAGGATGGACACCATCCAGGAAGACCCCAGCACTGACTCACACATCGATGAGGATGCATTTGAGAAGGACCCTTTTCCAAATAGCACAGCTGCGAAGTCGTTTGAAGACCTCACTCACCATCCTGTCACGAGAAGCGAGAAGGCGTCCTCCTTCAAACTGCAGCGTCAGAACCGTGTTGACAGCAAAGAGACAGAGTGCTAGGACAGGAATCTACTTTGTGTGCAAAGTATTTTTATAAATTTGATCTAAAATCATTTGCATATATTTTTGAAGATTCCAGAGAAATAGGGAAGTGACTTAACAGCAGATGCTGGTCATGTGTTTGAACTTCCTTTACTAAATAATATTGTGTGATTAGATCTTTTTCCTTTTAAAGAGGTAAGGTGAATCTAGCTTATTTTGAGCCTTTCAGGTTTTAGTTTTTTGATCTTTAAAATATCCTTCAACCTGTGGTGCAAAAGTAGAAAATACAGCTGGATTAGGTTATGAATATTTACGTTTTTGTAAATTGACATTTTATATGGATAATAGCACTGATGAGGGGGATGTTAATTTTTTTTATACACTGTAACGATCCGCTGAATATGAGGTATTTAGCAATTTTATGACAACTGGAACACAGAATAAACTTATTTATTTTTTTGCCTTCAAGTAAAGACAAGAGTGAGATAAAACCTAGTTATAATAATTGATCTCCAAAATCTGGGTTCTATTTCTGGGTTTTTCCCAGAGCTTTTAGCAGCAGGGAGAATTCTACATTGAAATTAAGGAATAATTTAGGTTGATATGTCTCCTCGTAGTTGTGTTAGTATCTTTTAGAATTAAGACAATCTAATTTATAGTGAGGTTTACAAATAATATTAACAATTGAATTTATAGAATCCTCCCAACTGGTTAGTGCTTCAGTTTGTGCTTTGTAAGTATCTTCATTGTATCCTTGGAACTATAGCCATATTCTTTAAAAAATTCACCATCTACTTCAAAATAAGAATATGGTTGCTTACTTAAAAAAGAAGGGGATGAGAAGTATTTCTCACTAAAAGACTAGCGCTGGTCTTGGGTAGACACGATGGGCTGCGCCAGGTCCGGCTGGGCTTCTCCTCTACTGGCTAATAGTTGACACACTTTCAGTGACACCCTAAGCGGATATTCTTGTCACTTCTTTTGTTTTAGTGCTTTCAGGATTCTGGATGATCTGCATTTATTGTGTTAAGGATAAAAATAACCAGACTGAATTCTTAAATAAAATAAATTACCAGCAATATGCTCAGCAGCCAATATATTTAACTCAGTACCTTGTAAACTTTGACAGCAATTAACCAAACCGTGCCTTTTTTCCTAGGTATGTTTGTTACTTGGATACTTGTTACACTAATACTTGAACCTGTACCTTATGGTATTTGTTATCTTAACTACTCGCAATATTCTTATATTTTAGTTACACTATTGGAGTTTGATAAAAGGTGAGTCGGGTGTGTTGGTGTATGTATGAAAAAAAACCAAATGGTTCTCAGCAGAATGTAAGAAATCCATTTTTTATAAAATTCTTTTTAAGAAAAACCTTGTCTTGACCTTTCTGGCATTTATATAATTTACCTGCTCAGAGTGTATTTTGTAACAGTGACACTGATGATACCTGCATCAGTCAATAAATACTAACATCGAAACAGTGTATCCAATTATAAAGCTTCCTTAAAAATCCTGTTTTATTAATATTGGCAGCAGTGGGGGTTTTTTGAGGTCCAGGGTCATAAGAGTTTGAGGAAAAAGTAGCTTTTGATCACTTGCTTTAGCAACATTACATCTGTGAATGAACAACCAAAGTTTGGATTTTCTGTGATCATCTAATGGTCCCCGTCTCCCAGAAGACTTAGTTCCGGTTTTGCTTCTGTTACGTCGCGCCAGTAAGGAAGCAGAAGAGGCAGGGAGGAAAGCTGCTTCTCCAACAGGGGCCACAGGTGTGAGAAAAGAAACTCATTTCCTTTTGGTGATAAATGTAGTCCATCTGATAAATAGGATGAAAAATCCTGTAAGGGAGAGAGCAATAAGTTAAAAGTGTGTATTTTTTAAAAAAATGCTGATATGTACTGTTCTTCAGGTTGCACTTCAGGCTGAACAACCCGTTAAGCTATCCAGGCATCTGCGCCATTTACACCAGTGTTCTAACATGTGCTCTCACACTGAGTAATAACCTTACAGATTAGAATTGAGATTCATAAACTCATGTACCAGTAGGTGTATGAGCTGGAATATCATTCTTTTTAGGACTTCTGAATACTATACCATTGATATCCAATTATTTAGCAACTTAATGAAAAAATGAGTAAATTGGTATTAAAAGCTTGGGACTACAGGGAGCCAGTATTTTTTATTTGTTTTGTTTATATAGTAAGTTGATAGGCAAGTTTTAAGTGAGAACAACACACACCATCCAGCTTAGAACAGTAAATGCTGAAATAGTGTTCCCACCACACACAAGCTTGAAATACTACAGCATTTACCACTACAGCCATTACTTCTTTGGGAAAACTGGTTTCCGGGGGGTTAGTGCCCCTACCCTTCTATTAGACTTCAGGTGTTCACTTAGCTCAGTTAGTTCAATTGGCTCTTCTAGATTGGTTTGTTTAGTGGTAAGAAGCTGTGCTGCAAGCCTGGAAGCACGTAGTTTGAATCCACCAGCTGTTCCACGGGAGCAGGATGGGCCGTCTCCTCCCGTGTGATTAACTGCCTCTGAAAACCCGCTGGAGGGCCAGGGGTGGGTTGGTTCCAACTTGACGGCACACAACAACATATAATTAGAGGTTAGATGATACCTATGGAAGCTTCCCAGCTCTAGATTCTTACTGTTAAATCAGATTAACCAGCCCAGCAGCTCACAATTTTATCTTCTCTAGAAATAGCCTTCCTAAACCATCTTAAGATAGAATATTAAAAAAAAGAATATTCAAGAAAAAGGAAACGGAATGTTCTCTTCAAGCTACAAGAATGTCTTTTTACAAGGCCTGACGCTGCCTGACAACGGGCCCAAAGTGTGTGAGATGAAGTTTCACCATCCTTGCCTCTGTGGAGCACTCTGCACTTTCTCCAAGACAGGCTTGTTCATTCTTTGGAAGTCCATGGTGTGTATTCCATACCGACTGTCGGCATCCCAATTCAAAGGCATCGATTCTTAGTCTGTTTTCCTTATTCATTGTCCAGCTTTCACATGCATGTAAAGACACTGAAGAGACCATGACTTGGGCCAACGGTGCCCTAGTTTTTAAACTGGCCTCCTTGCTTTTTAGCACTTCACAGAGCTTGACAGATTTCCTCAATGCAACATGTCTTGATTTTTTAACTGTTCCTATCATGGACATTGACTATAGACACACGCAAACTTCAGTCTTCTCCATCTACCATTATGTTGCCTATTGGTCTAATTCTGAAGATACTTGTTTTCTTGATTTTAAGGTGTACTCCATATTAAAGGCTGTAATCTTTTAAGCCTTCACTTTCTGTAAGCAATTTTGTATCATCTCCAATCCTGATACCACATTCTTCATACAGTCCAGCTTCTTGGATGATTTTGCTGAGCAAATATACTGAATAGGTCTGAAGAATGGATAGACTCTGACACACACCCTTCCTGATTACAAACCATGTAGTATGCCCTTATCTGTTCAGACACTGCTGCTTGGTCTATGTATAGGTTTTACATGAGGACAATTCAGTGTTCCGGGATTCCCATTCTTCTCAAGTTATCTGGAATTTATTATTATCCACACAAAGGAATGCCCTTGAATTACCTATCTCAAAATAGTGATTTTATTACTTAATACCATATTCCTACCCTCACTTGCCAGTATTTCACTTTGGACATATGATCAGGAGGTGTAGACCAATCCCTGGAGAAAGGCATCACCCTTGACAAAGCAGAAGGTCAGTGAAAAAAGGCCCCTAACGGGCACTGACAGTACTAGCATCAGTGGGTCTACGGCCAGCAGCTTGCGACTCTGGCGCAGGGCTGGGCACTGCTGCCTTCTGCTGCCCACTGCTGGACGAGGCTGCTGGAAGTCAGCACTGAGCCCTTAACGACAACATCAAAGTCACTTTTCTCTCGATCAGTTCACTTTCCACTAGTCCTTACATACAAGGATTTGGCCTGCATTTCTTCAGTATGGACCATCTGTTGCTACTTTATTTCACTACACAGTGAGTCCTAACTGTAAAAGGAGCTCCCACAGTAGGATATGAAGTGCTGACAATGGAGCTGGTGTGTCCTCTCGTCCTACATTCTTTGTGTGAAATGATGAAGCATTACTTTCTTAGCCAAATCTTAGTTTTAGGAAAGATGCACAAATGTGGTTGATCTCATTTTCCTGCTTACCTGACAAGTAAGCAAGTCACTGTACCTGATTGTCTTTCTGCATCAGGGTCCACAGGTCGAGTACATTAGTGTGGCAGTCTTGGGCCACTTGTAAACAGGCATTGGCATATTCACCAACAACCAAGTTCAGGCGATTTAATTTGTAACCTATAAGGAAGAGAGAAAATCTAGATGGTTGACAAAGCATGATTCTAGTGCTAACACCGGGATGGCTTCTACGTTTACGTTCTGTTAACCATCGGCACTCGGTGGGCCAGCTGCGGAGCTGAGGGGGTGCAGGGGAGGCCACCCTTCATGCTCTCTAAGACTGCCATTGTACCATCTTTCCAGAGCCTCCTGTCAGGACTGCCGGCTGTTCCGCCCAGCAGGGGGCTCCAGTGTGGCCTGCTACCGTGAGACCAGAATGAGGACTGAGGGACAGACTGGAGAGGAAGGCTCGGCCAGAACACGGAAGTTGGAGCAACTGAGGGCCCTGAATTTCTAATCAGAAAAAAAAAACCACCCCAAAACAAAAAACCCTTTCCCTTGTTTTGATTCATACTTAATGATGTGAAATTCACACTGCTTGTAATTAACTTCTGGGGTGCCAGTTCTCAAGGAGCCTGGGTGGTATAGATCATACAGGGTTGGGCTGCTAACTGAAAGGTTAGTGTTTTGAATCTACTACTTGAACGGTGTTACAGCCCCTGAAACCTGGGAGGGAAACCTGCTGGGAGTTGGGCTTGACTCAATAGTGGGTTTCTCACCCCACTTCCACCTTTTGCTCTTCTCTGGCCTAATTTATATTGGATTACATCCATGAATAGAAAGAAATAAAATGTGTGAGTTTCACAGATTCTCTTTAACATATATACCATGTCTGACCTTGATGAGGGCATGTAACTTTCATCTCCTGTTTGTAAAATTTTTCATTATTTTTTTTGTGTGTACCATCAAACCGGATCTGAATGGTACAGGAGGAGGACACTGCCCCTCCTCCAGCAAAGCATCTGGTGGATTCAAACCACGCACCTCTGGGATTGTCATCTCCCTTCTTAGCTGACAATAGCCATACAGGTCCCAGTGCTGGCTAAAGGGACAGAAGAAAGCTGGGGCATCAAACCTGGGCCTGGGTGGACCCCAGTCACTGCTCTCTCAGGCCCACCATCCCCACACTTACGGTCACTGCCCTCTGGCTTGGCGGTTCCTGTCTGCTGTCACCATGAACACTACTCACTGTCATCGCCTCTAGCATGTGCTCTGTTCCATATGTCCTTTCTCTCCTGAGACTGTTTGGTTCCCACCAAGGATTACAGCCCTTTGAGGGCAAGGACATTGCTGTGCCCTGACTGAAGGTGGTGCTGGTAACAGTAAATACCTGAGCTCTAAAGGTGGATCACCTAGGCTTGATTCATTGTTGAGTGAGTGATCTCTGGCAAGTTAAGTGCACGATTTCTTACATGGAGACACTGATACTCTGCATAAAACATGTAGTGGGCACCAGAAACAATGGGAGGGGAAAAGAGTCCATCTTAAAACGAGTAGATGTTAGATCGTCCTAGAATAACTTGTTGTGAGTTGAGACTGCTTGTGATGCAGAGGTCCATGGCATACTGTTCAAGACACTTACACGTTAGCCTAAGAAAATGACTAGGCTCAAGTTCCACCATTTACAACTCCAGTTCTAGCTTTCACTGCTGCTCACTTGGAACCACCTCACCCTTCAGCGGAGCCAGCGGTGGGTCTGAACCGCCAGCAGGGGGCAGTCACTGGGTCGGCACAACTCAGGGTTTGGTAATAAAGGTCAGCAACTTGCAAACACCAGACTAGTGCTGCTAATGAACCCAAAGTGAGAATCCCTTCTCTAGACAAAAAGTTAAGTGCAGTATTATGTAAGTCATACATTTTATGTTTTAACTTCTGTTTATTAAAAACCAAATAAACTGTTAATAACTTACAGACCCATAGGAGAGGCACTGGTGGCACCAGGGTTAAGTGCTCACCTACAAGCACGGCTTGAGCGTGTGAGCCCACAGCTCTGTGGAAGACGTGGCGGCCTACGGCAGAGACTCCCACAGGGCTGCTATGAGTCGGAAGCAACTTGATGGCGATGGGTTGGGTTGAGTTAGGTGGAGGCAGGATGATGCAATGGTTAAGTGCTCAGCTGCTGACTCAAAAAGTCAGAGGTTCAAATCCACATAGGCCCTGAATGCTGTATGTTGAGCATTCCCTTGGAAATCCCATTGAACAGCCCTAGTCTGTCCGGCCAGGTTGCTATGAGTTAGGATTGGCTCACAATAAGGAGCTGGTTGTTGTGCCCTGGTGGCTTATGTGTTGCTATGATGCTAAAAGCTACCCGGGCAAGGTCACCAGGGTGGACAGGTTCCAGCACAGCTCACACACACACAGCTACATGAGGAAAGAAGGCTTTGTATTCTACTTCCACAAACTAGCCAGTGATTATGCAGTGGTGGTGATGGTATAGAATCTGGACTAGCCTGAAGTGCCAAAACAACCGCCAAACCAAAACCCAACTCAGATCAGTCACAGAAGAAACACAACCAAAATGGAGGTGGGCAAGACGAGCAGCTTCCTTTGGGCACACCATGAGGAAAGACCAAAAGCTAGCAGAGTGCACCAGGGCTGGTAAAGCAGCGTTAACAAGGGACATTTCAGCGAGGTGTCAGAACCCAGCAGGTACAAGGGACTAAAACATGCGATCATCGTGAAGGTGGTGTACGAACTTCTGTCCACTTACGGCTGCCTGGTGTCGGAACCAGGTTGCTGGAAACGCTTCTTTTCTGGTGGTGGAATCTACAGAGTGGTGCTGCTGATCCAAAGGCTGAGATTCTGGTAGTTCAAGTCCATCAGTGTCCCCAAGGGAGAGACATGGCCACCCTCTTCCCACGTGAATCTGACCCACAGGACGCAGGCTCTGATTCTCCGAGCATTGACAATGAAGTCTGATGAGACTGTCGTGTTTACCTTGTGCGAGGCACTCCTTTTCCCAAGCCGATTCACAGAGAGGAGGCGGTGTGATGAGAATAATTCTCGTCTCGGGGACGTCCACAGACTTCAGGTACTGCACCATGCTCTTCAGATTCGCCGCGTACTCCTCCAGCGGGATGTGCTGCTTAGGATTCTCGTCTGTTCAGGAGCAACACGAATACATATTTGTTACCTGTGATAATATGAATACTGGTATGCTTTTCTATAAATGAGCATTGCAAATGAGGTCCCTGGGAAATTGTTTAGCACCAAGAAAGGAAAAAGATAAAAAGACGTAAAATATCTAGTGTGTCATAAAATAGGCTTCTGAGGACTTGGCTGTGGCCCTTTCTGTAGTTTTGTCTTCACTAGTGGCCATGTTGTTAGTAATTTGTTGAGTTTATAAAGAAAGAACTCTTAACTATGGACTATGAAGGCCCAGATTAAAATTTTTAATTTCTCACTGACATAACCTTGGAAAAATATTTAACCTTTCTGTACCTCAATTTCCACATTTGTACCATTAGCATAATACTAACAGCTTTCCTCAAAAGTTACAGTGAAACATAAACACTTAAGGCAAAGTTTCTTCTGCCAAGTAAGCACCACATAGGTGGATGCCAGCTATCATTATAACAACACTGTTAGTAGTATCACAAGGCACATGGTTTGAATCCAGCTGTTATGAAGAAGAAAGATGAATCATCTCTTCCTGTGTATTTACAGCCTCTGACAACGCCCTGAAGGATCAGTCATGAGCTGTTCCAACTCGAAAGTACATTAAGAACAGTTTTACTGTACAGAATAATTTCTAGACAGGTTCACACGTATGCATTACAAAGCTTACTGAGACCATTTGCAAACTACAATCAGTCATAAGCTATCACCCAGAAAATCAGTGTCACATTTAGAGGTTTTTTTCCCAATCTTTGCACTGTAAATATGTGTGCTTTCTGAAAAATTCTGAGATCACCCTAAGTACATATGACCTTATGTGTGGCTGTTCGGAGTTTTGTTTTGTTTTTTTTAACATACTGTAAGTACTGATCATCAAAAACATGATAATAACTTCCTATGTATTTGTGTGGTCATGGTATTCATCTAATTTCCTTATTACGCAACACTTGGGTTTTTTTTCCTATTACAAATAACAATGCTTACAAATCTCTTTAAAAACATTTACTGAATAATTTTGTTTTCTTAGGCCGGACTCCTAGACAAGTCTATTGAAGGATACTGCCAAATGGATACCTACAAAGATTATATACCAAATAATTCTCCCATAGCATCTAAGGGTTGCTGTTTTACTCTATGTTTGCCACAAGTACGTTTTGGTTTTAAAACGGTTTTCCAATTTGGCAGGCAAACACACACATTTCTTGTTTTCGTTTGCATTTCTTATATGACATGATTTCTCCTTTTTAAAATAAATATTTAAGTGAAAGTTTACACAATAAATTAGGTTCTCACTTTTCAATTCCTATATGAGCTGTGGAGACATTAGCTCCATTCCCCCTAATACACTGCTGTTCTCCGTGTGGCTGCCATCGTATCTTCTCATCTGTGCATTAATGGTGACCTTTTGGTCTCATTTCCTGTGTTGTTGTTAAGTGCCACTGAGTCTAGGACTGCTCACAGCAGAACCCCGTCCTACTGCGTGGGAGCCTCACCTTCTCCGACACACGAAGCCTGTTGCTGCAGTCACCGTGTTAGTTCACCTGGCTGAGGAGCCTCCTCTCCTCTGCTGCCCTTCCACCTTTCCAAGCGGGAGATCCCTCTCCAAGGTATATCCCTCTCCTAGTAACATGCCCAAAGTAGATGAGCTTTCTCATCTTTGCCTCCAAGAAACGCTGTGGCTGCACCTTCTCCAAGACGTATCTGTTCGTTCTCTTGGCAGTCCACAGGATGTTTAGCATGCTTCTCCAGCACCACAACTCAAAGGCATCAATTCTTCTTCTGTCATCCTTATTCATTGTTCAGCTCGCAGGTGCACAGCAAATAACTAAAAAGACCAGGCACATCTTAGTCCTCAAACTGACATGATTGCTACTCAACAATTTGGAGAGGTCCCTGACTACAGACTTCCCTGGTGCAATATGGCTCCTGATCTCCGGTCTGCTGGTTGATTGTGGGTCCAAGTGAGATGAAGTTGTTGACAATCTGAATCTTTTCTCCAGCTGTCACAATTTCACCTCAGTCCAGTGGCAAGGATTTTTTTTTTATTTTTTTTATGTCAAGATGCAGTCCATATTGAAGGCTGCAGTGTTTTTTCAGTACACACCCTAGTTAAGGGAAATATAATTTATTTTATATGCTACTTTGTTGTTTCACTAAAAGGTGATCTTAAAATATCTGCATTTTTTAAAAATTTTTATTATTTTTTGTGTGTGTACTGTCAAATCAGATCTGACTGGTACAGAAGAAGATTGTCCCTCCTTCTCCAGCAGAGCATCTGGTGGATTCAAACTGCTCACCTCTGGGATTGCAGTGCAGCTTCTTGCCACTATGCCACCAGAGCACGCCAAATATCTGCATTTTTTGATATGTGGAGTGTTACACACATTTCCCAATATGTACTGGTATATAATTTCTATTTTTTGGATGGATGCCATTTTGAGTTTATGTCATAGTCCTGTTCCCCCCCCCCTTTGCTCTTTCTTTCATTGCTCCTGAGTTTAGAAAGTATTTTCCCTTGTCTTAAAATTGATGACAGTTCACATACTTTGTTGCTGTTCTTTGTAGATGGAACCACTTTATTTATGCTTCAGTAGTCTACCTCCATAAGCAATCTGCCAATTACATAGTCCATCCAGAGCTGTTAACATGGAGAATCTGTTATCACTAACCCTCCAGCCTTTGTGGAGGTGCTGCTGTTAAGTGCTGTTGAATCAAGTATGACTCACAGTGACCCCACGAACCCTGTTCTGTCTTGTGCCACCTTTACAGCTTGACACGCTCAAGCCTGTGCCTGTAGTCACTGTCAGTCCACCGCATTGAGGGTCTCTCTCCTTCGCCATCCCTCTACCTTTCCAAACATATTTTCCTTCTCCAAGAAATAGCCTCTCCTAAGTAATGGTTGGTTACCCAATGCAGACAGAGTGGGGTGGAGCTCCCCGATTATAACAAGTGTGGAAGGAGGAGTGGCATCCACTTCCATAATAGCTTGCCTCCGGAAACCCTATGAACCTGGAGAGAGGATGAAAGGCACGCAAGCATCAAGGACACTCCTTCATAGGGTTGCTATGAGTCGCCTGTGACTCCACGGCACTTAACAACAAGTATGCAAGACGAAGCATTGCTGTCTTTGCCTCTTAGAAGTACTATGGCTAAACCTTCTCCAAGATGTATCCATTTACATACTTTGTTTTTAAAATACTATTCTTTAGAGTTTTATTTTTTATATCTAATTATGATACTTCATCTCAAATTTATTTTGGTATAACATGTAAAGAATTGACTTCAATTTTCTCCAAATAGTTTATTTATAGTCTCTCCTAATATCTGTAGCTGGAGAGGGATGGGCAATCTCCTCCTGTGCAGTCAACTGCCTCTGAAAACCCACTGCAGGGCAGCTATGGGTCGGTTCTGACTTGTCAGCACACAACAGTATCTGTAAGGAGTCTTGATGGTGTAGTAAGTAACTTACTTGGCTGCTAACTGAAAGGCCAGCTGCTACATCCCCCAACTAGTCGGAGGGAGAAAGTGGGCCGTCTTCTGCAGTCTCCTTTACAGCCTCAGAAGCCCGATGGGGAGTCATCATGATTCAGAACCAACAATATGCCTGACTGGGTTTTTTTGTTTTACTAATATTTATAATTTACATCATCTTTCTTATTATTCTTATTATGTGTCATCAAGTTGAGTATGTCATGTAGCCTATAAACAACAGATCTAAACCCTGTCTATCCTGTGCCAGCCTCACAATCTTAGACACACTCAAGCCCACCGCTCCAGTCACCGTGCCAGTGCACCTGGCTGACAGTCTTCCTCTCCTCTGCCGACCCTCTGGCTTTGCCAGCATATGTCCTCTCCTAGCAACACACCCAAAGTATGCCAGATAAAGCCTCACCATCCAGGGAGAAATCTGGCTTTACCTTCTCCAAGACATATCTATTTCTTCTCTTGGCAGTCCATGGGATATGCAGTACTCTCCTCCAACACCCCAACTCGATGGCATCAATTTTTCTTCCATCATCCTTATTCACTGTCTAGCTCATTTCTCCACAGTAATTTGGAGACGTCCCCAACTGCAAACTTTCCCAGTGCATTATGTCCTCTGATCTCCCGACTGCTGGTGCCACATGTATTTATTACGGATTCAAATTAGATGAAGTCACTAACAGTTTCAATCTTTTCTCCACCTATCATGATGTCACCTCCTGGTCCAGTAGTGAGAATTTGTTTTCTAGACACTGAGATACAGTCCATATGGAAGGCTGCAGTATCACTCTTTCTCAAAGACAGCAAGAATTCCTTCATTGTAACTTGCAGTTGTCCCTCCTTGTATCTAGTTGCAAATATCCTTGGCAACTTCCCCACAATGTGTATGTACAAAGCATGGTAGCTAGTGTCTGCTCAGTGCCCAAGCAGGGGCAGGGGTGAAACCACAGGAAGCAGGCTAGCAACTTTCCAAAATATGTGTTGCTTTTCCTTCCCTTTTCACCATACAGAGGGTTCCTTTCAAGGGTAAAGAAGGGGAAAAAATACCTATTAGCTGGTTTTCCTTCTAATCACAGCAACAGTTGTTCAGAAAACAAATATAAACTCCTCTCCTTGTCAGAACCCAGGCTGAATTGAATCCACCCAGAATTGAAGCATTTCTCTACTTCAGGCCAGCTGCTGCCTTCAAGCTGGGGAGTCTGTCCTCAACTTAATGACACTATCATTGCAAAGTAAAAATAATCCAGAGAACACAAAATTGCCTTTACCTTTTAAAGAACTGTCATTGGCACCAAAGAAAATTGTAACTGCTACAGGGTTGTCCAGACTGTTACCTTTCTTGATTAACCTTGGAAGAATGATTTTGGCCCATCTGGTATTGTAACCTGAAAATCCACGATTCAGAACATCACATTTCCTGAAATGGAAAATTGAAAGTGAAGTTAAATTGTGGGCAAAGAACTGTGTACGGACTCAGCCGGCCTTACAGGATGGGTACTCTCTGGGTGTGGAATCCTTCCCGATGTCCCAAGACACTGACCCAGCTCCAAGTGCTATTTTGAGAAAGGCAATGAAACGGTTGCTATTCTTCCCTAAGAAGTTCACATACAGAGGTAAACACGTCCGATTCCTTAATGAGTGAGGTTATGAATATTTATGTGCAAACAGGCTGATTTAGTCTGCAGACTGATTTCCTACGGGAGACTACTTTAAAAATGAAATTTTGATATATGTTAATTTGAGTAAGTATGTTAGTCACAAAGAATGTCACTAGTAAGTTAGAACTGAAATGTAAAAATGTTCATTTTGGGGTAAATGCATGGAGTAATTTTGAGATTCTTCATTTTGTTTTGATTCAATAATTTCTGTAAATAATATTAGTTGTGTTTCAGTTTAAGCCTGTTCATTAAGAAGCTTTTATTTTATTTTCAAAATATTAAATTCACATCACTCTGATATAATGAAAGTAACAATCCATTGATCTTGAACCATGTGCCTGGCTTTGTATCCCAGCTCCTGATGGCTGTGTGACCTTGGGTATGTTACATAGCTCCTTACATATGAGCTGATGATAATCAAATCTCAGGATTAAACTGGACAACATATTTATCTATAATATCTAATATAAGATCAAGAAGCTTTGGCAGTACACATTTTTGGTGGCTAACCAAAGGTCAGTGGTTCAAACTCACAAGTGGTAGTGTTAAGCTTCCATAAAGACTGTGGTCTCAGAAACCCTATGGGGCAGTTCCACTCTCCTTTAAGGTCCCTGTACGTTGGAACTGAACGGCTGGCAATGGGTTTACTATAGTATCAGTTATGTTGTCGTTGTCATCATGTGCTGTCACCATATAAACAGCACTTCTCAATCTTGCCCTAGCCCAAGTCAACCTGAGCCAAACTTGACCCCATTGCTACAGCCACTGTGTCAATTCATCATCAAGGGTTGCTCAATTACTTTTAAAATCATCTTTGTAAAATAATACGATCTGGGGTTTGCTTCAGAATCATCTATGGTAGGGGGATAGATGAGTGACGAGCACACGGGTTCATCATATTCTTTGCTTTTGGATGGTTCATTCTTGATGTGGAGTTCAAACTCTCCGTGTGACTAAGTGAGTAGGCCGAGATGCTGGGCCTAACTCTATAAACAACGACAGGCAGCTGACTCCAGAGAGCAGCAGGGAGACCCATTTATTATTTTTTCTGACCCCATGATTAATCCCCACCCCCTGTACATCCTCACCCATCTACTTCCACCCTCTCCCTCGCCCCCTTGGATCCTCATACTTACTCTACAATAATCATTTTATACAGTATTTGTCCTTGTGGGATTGAGTTAGTTCACTCAGCATAATGCTCTTCAGTCCCTCTCAAGTTAGGTAATAATTTTATACTGGTTTACATACAAAGTTCATATACTTGGTTTTTTCACACTGGACCTTTCCCCTTTACCAATCCCTCCCTCCACCCATCAAATTGTGTGACCCTATGTTTAAGTCCCGCCCCCCTTGGATCCTCGTACACACTCTACAATATTTGTTCTATTCAGTAATTTGTCTCTATGAGACTGAGTTAGTTCAGTTAGCATAATGCTCCCCCCATGTTAGTAATAATTGTGTAATACTTTATTTGTAGTCATTTATAAAATCATTGCTCCTGCTTGCTGCATAGTATTCCATTGTGTGAATGTACCATAATTTCTCAATCTATTCCCCTATGGTTGAGCCTTTGGACTGTTTCCATGTTCTTGCAATGGTGAATAATGCTGCTATGAACATTGGTGTACAAGTCTTCGTTTGTGCCTCAGTTCTCATTTTCTCAGGGTATATATTCCAAGCAGTAGAATAGCTGGGTCATATGGAATTTCTGTATCTAGCTTTTTGAGGAAGCACCAAACTGTCTTCCAGAGTGGTTGTTCCATTTTACAATCCCACAAACAATGTATAAGAGTTCCTACCTTGCCATATCCCCACCAACATTTTATGGCACTTTGCTGAGAGCTCTCAGATAGCATTGAGTAAACCTTGGGAAAAACATAAAAAAGCTCGGCCGCGCCCAACAAACAAATGAATGGCTAGAAAAATTATGGTACATTCACACAATGGCACACTAGGAAACATTGAAAAACAAAGAACTTCAGTTCAAATCCACCAGAAGCTTTGCTGGAGAAGGAGGAATCTCCTCCTGTACCAGTCAGATCCGATTTGACGGTACACACACACAAATAATAAAATTTAAAAAATGTAAAAAAAAGAAAGACAAAGAACTTGTAAAACATTACACAATATGGGAGAGACTGGAGGACATCATGCTGAATGAAATATCTCAGTCACAAAAGGACAAATACTGAATAACACGTTATAAAATAGGATGGACATGGAGGAAGACAATGGGAAAAGAGTGGATAGATAATGAACACTGCATTAAATTGATTAGGGGAAAAACTGTCTGAACGGAGTGTGTTATTATGTATTATATGTATGACTGGAACAAGAGGTACATTGTTGGGAGGGCTGAGGGACTGAGGAGGGAAGAAGGGAAGCAAATGTATAACAATGGGAAAAAATTAAAACCACAAAAAAGCTCAGCCATAATTTTTCTTAGTAAAAGTCTTAAGTTTTGATATGAAATTATAAAAAATCTGACCATTTTGAAGGGTCCAGTCCTTTACATTTCAAGATAAAATATGCTTTGACATTATATTCACTTAAAATGTTTTGCCAGGATTAGTATGTCTCCTCTCCATTAACTGATTCAAATGCATACAGTGACCTTCCACCAGCTTTCAGAGGCTGTCCATGGAGAAGGATGGGCAATCTCCTCCTGTGGGATTAATTGCCTCTTAAAAATGGCTGGAGGGTCAGCTATGGGTCGTACCAACATGGTGGTACAACAACTACAGGAAGAGCCTGCTCATCTCTGACTGTGCCCCCACCCTGCTGTTCCTGTTAGCAGTCTGATAGGCTATACACTATGCCTTCAGGGAGCCTTTCAATTGCTTTACTTACTGTAAAAAAAGGAGGAAACAATGGTGTAGTAATAAAACTGCAAGTCAAATAGATTTGTGTCCAGCCCTTACTTTATCGTTTCCTATCAATTTGGTATGAAACTGCATAATTTACTCTGTTTTCCTGAGATATTATTATATTTTCTATCAATAAATACTTGAGAATCAATCTTAAAACTTTTCTCACCTGACCAGCTTGTCAGCCAGTGATGCTCCCCATCCACCTTGCTGAAAAGAAAACTGAAGAAAAGCCCATTACTGTTTATCAGTATCAACATAAAGGAAACATTTTCATGAAGGAAATTATAATCAGCACCCCTTTTTTTCTCTTTGTGCTCTCAGCCTTCATTTGATTTATTCAGGGAGGTCGTCTGAGGGATTCCTGCAGTCACACTTCAGCAGCATTCTAGAAATATCCTTTTTTCCCCCCTTACAAAATGAATTTGAATCACTATTTCCCTGACACCTACTGTTGCGTCAAGGAGCCCTGGTATTGCAGTGAGGCTTTCTGTAGCTAACTGGCTGTTTAAACCCACCAGCCACTCAGCAGGGGGCAGACAGAAACATCTGCTTCTATGAAGACTGCAGGCACTCTGGGGGTGCAGTCCCTAGAGACTGGTGCTCCTAGCTCAAAGGCAGTGTTTCTCTCAGGGTTCCAATTCACCAGCAACTCCTCAGAGAGAAGGGCTGTGCCTAGGCTGTGATTTACAGCCTTACAAAACTCTCTGGAGGGCCATTCAAGTCCACCACAATGAGTTGTTGGGCTGATAAAGACTAGTCTTGAGAACCCCCAACAAAGTGTTAGATTCTGTTCTGGAGGGTTGCTGAGTCGAAATACACTCAAAGGTTTGGTGCTGTGTTTGTTAATGTCAGTAAGAAATGGGACAAACAATGGGTGGCTGGAAACCATTCAAGACAACTTGGAAGCCAGACTTCACCATCTGCTTCTCAAGGGTCCCAGCCTTGAGACCCCTGTGGAGCAGATCTACTCTGCAGACAAGAGGCAGCCCTGAGTCTGGACTGACTGGATGGCAATTAACAATACAATATTCAGCTCTTCTCACTAACAGCGCATACAGATTCTTCATTGGTTTCTGAGGTGTTATCTTTCCCCCCCATCAGTTAGAAAGCAAAGTTTCTTTTCAGAAAGCCGTTAACACCCAGTCACATATTGAAACCCAGTGGATTCAGATTTCATATTTTGATGTCTTAAATGTTTTAAAAAAGATTTGAGACTAAGTAGAATGTAAATAACCGCAATGGAATCTTTCATACTTTGAAGTAAATGAATTTTCAAAAATTTCCATTTCTTCAAACATAGATTGCAATAATTAATTTTAATATAAGAGCCTATTTTTGCAAAGAGATGGTAAATCCTAACAGAAGTCCTTTTTACCTCCAAGCAGCTGGGGAATTCAAACTGCCAGTAACAAACAGCAGTGTAATAGTCTAAAGTCTATGCCACAAAGCTGATGTAATAATGAAAAAGTCACTGTTAACTAGAAAAAACCTGTAACATCTATGCACAAGAGAAAAAGAAAACCTATGTACAAGAGACATATTCACTTAGGAGATGAAGACCATGATGATACTTGTGCATATCTTAAAGAATTAATAAGGAAATAGACTGATTTTTAAATTAATAGAACTCAAAGTTCTGTTATTAAAGAACATTCTTTAATATACAAGGAACATTCTTTAATATACAAGGCTTACTGTCCCAGATGTGTAAAATAAATGTTACTAATTATTTGCCTTATACAAACTGCTCTAGAAAGTCACACCTGAATGTTACAAAACTTTTAAAAAAGAGATATATCTATATACATCTTTAACTGAAATAAAAATGTCCTCCTTCTTGAAGAACATGCTTTTACTAGAATTTTTCTTATATGTGACAAAGAAAATGATTTTGGATAATATATATTTTCCTACTTATTTCTGGAAACATTTTATATTAAGATCAACCATTAGTTGTTCACACTGACCTACAAGCTGAAATATGTATTGGTTCAATGTGTTTTCTATTAGAGAGATGCAAATCCAACATCAATGAGATATCATCTCACCCAGGCAACAGTTGTTAGATACTGCTGAGTCAAGTACAACTCAGTGACCCTATGAACAACAGATCTGAACCCTGTCCTGTCTTCTGCCATCCTCATCATCTTTAACACACTTGAGCCCACTGCTGCAGTCACTGTGTCAATCCATCTCATTGAGGGGGTAGTTCTTTTGTTGACTCTATACTTTTCCAAGCATGATGTCCCTCTCCAAGAAATAGCCTCTCCTAGCAATATGCCCAAAGTGTAAGAGATGAAGTTTTGTCATCTTTGCCTCCAAGCAACATTTTGGCTGCCCTTTCAGGCAACAATAGCAATGTTCAATAAGACAGTAAACAGCAAGTGTATGGAGAGATTGGAATTCTCATACATTGCTGGTGGGATTGTAAATGGTGCAAGCAGTTTGGAAAGCAGTTTGGTGCTTCCTTAGAAAGTTTGTAATAGCAATACCATTGATCCGGATATTCTATTTGAGGGATATATCTTAAAGAAATAAGAGCTGTGACATGAACTAACATACACACCCATGTTGAGTGCAGCATTATTTTCAATAGCAAAGGGCTGGAAGCAACCCAAGTGTCCATCAGTTGATAAGAGTTAAAGAAACTAGTGTATTCACACAATGGAACACTATGTGTCATCAAAAACCGATCAAGAACTTGTGAAACACTACACAACACGGATGAATCTAGAACAAATTATACTGAGTGACATCAGTCAGTCACAAAAGAACAATTATTGTATATATAACCACCATCATAAAAAGCAAAGTCAAGGTTTACACAGAGTCAACCTAGAAAGGGAAGGAGTGTTAAAAAAAAATTTAAAAATTATGGTTTCCCCGGCATAGTGACAGCAGGGCCACAGCTGAGATCAGAGTCCAGACAGGACTGAGCACCCTCTGGAAACAGAGAATTCTGTCCAGTCCCCCGGAGGAGATACTGGATGCCCTCTGCAAACAGAAAATTCTGCCCAGCCTCCCACCGGAGGGGATGCCGTGTCTGAACTTTGGTCTTAGTTTAAAGATTAAGCTTACCCATTGTTATGTTGGCAACTCTTAAGTAAAAGGAAAAATATAGTCTCCGGAGATTGAACCTTTTTGAGGATGATTGGCCTACACTAAATAAAAACCACAGGGAGACTAAGAAAGGGGCCTCTTCACAGTGCCATGCTGTGAGAGGAGTTCTGCCTTAGCCTTCCCTCTTTTTCAAAACTCATTTCCTCTGACCCTGCTTTCTTTCTGCCTCTGGTTTGCAACAACAACAACAACAACAACAAATCAAATTAGTATATCATCTCACCCCAGTAAGAACAGAAAAATTTAACAGAACAGCAAACAACAAATGCTGGTAAGTTTGCGGAGAAACTGAAAACCTTATTCACTGCTTGTGGGTGTATAAAACAGTGCAACCACTATGGAAAGCTGTATGGAGCTTTCTCAAAAAGTTGCAAATAGAAATATCATTTGACCCAGCAATTCCACTGCTGGGAATATACCCTAAGGAAATCAGAACTGCCACCCAAGCAGATATATGCACACCCATGTTTATTGAGGCTTTGTTCACAATAACAAAGAATTGGAAACAACTTAAGTACCCATCAACAAACGAATGGATAGCTCTGGTATATTCACACAATGGAATACTATGCTGCATTGAAAAACAAGGAACTCATTAAATGGGTGACCCTGGAGGACATTATGCTAAGTGAAATATCTCAGTCACAAAAGGAAAAATACTGCATAAGTAAAACGGGACTGACATCAGGGTTGGGGAGAGACTGAGAAAGATGGTATAAAGAATGTATATTGCATTGAAACAGATGAGGGAGAGAACTGTTTAAAAGGGATATATGATTAGGTATTATTTTCATGACAGAAGTCCGGAACGAAGTCTGCTGCATAGTGAAGTGAACTTGGGGGGAGGGATTGTACATCAGTGAAAGAATTTTTCTTTTACTTTTCAAAGAGAAGAGCGAACTGAGGGGGAGGGGTGGGCAGGGAGAAAAGTACAACAATGAATGAAATCCAAAGTCTCCGTAAATTTTCATGAAAATTAATAATAAAAAACCCCCATATTAGGTATGTGCAGAAAATAATGGATTAATAAAGTCTCTAAAATGTTAAACACATACACACAAAATGTTTTTTGCATGGAGCCTATGCATGAAATGCAGGAAGTTATTTAACTAAAGATCTGTGCATCTGACTCCAGGGGGGCATTGGGGCTGGGAGAACTCCAAGTTTGGTGAGAGCACAGCGCGGCTCCTGTCAATGAGCCACTAAGCCACGTTTCGTGGAAGAGAACGTTATTGTCAAGGATGACAGTAGAAATCAAACAAGGCACACCTCAACTGGTAGCAGTTCATCATGAAATCCCTATGAAAAATGACGCAGAAAGGAAAAGAGAAGTGCTATTTCGTACTGAGCTCGCTTTGTCACTCCTTAAGTCATGACCTGGACATGTCCTCTTACATCCCTACAGTACCGCCGTCACCTCCTCTGTCAAACTGTGACCTAGCTGTAAGACTAAGTAAAAACGAGTGTGAAAGCACCTCTGTCCTCGAAGGCTTCTTCATCCTGGAAGATTATTAACAAAGAATACCTGGATATCCTGGGTATATGTTACGGAGGGAAACTGGAGGCGGCAGGGGCACTGTGTTTGGGTAAGGAGGTTGAGCTGCCAACCCAAAGGTACAAGGTTCAAATTCAATAGAGGCTCTGCGGCAGAAAGATGAGCAGGATTTTCGCATGCGATCTACCCCCTCTGAAAACGCCCTGGAGGCTCAGCTAATGCTTCCAACTTGACAGCACGCAACAAACAAGAAAAGGGGCTGGAGATGAGCTAGAGGAGCTGGAGGATTCACAGACGTGATCAGCTACACTTCTGGTGGAGAAACCGAGACATTTGGGAGAAAAGTGGCCTTGAGATTCTTGTCACCAGGAGACTGGACTAAGGGGTGACTTGAGATTGGGGCATCGTAAGGGCATGACAAAGTGCTGACCAAGCAGCCTGTAGGGTCAAGGCCCAGAGCGCAGGCGACGCACAAGTCGCAGCAACTGGTATCAGAGGATTTAAGGAAGAGCGTGGCACCAGGGCAGCCCAGGAGAGCGGGGCGGCTGTACCTGGGTGATGGAATCTCCAAATAGCAACACGCGAGGCCAAAGCAGGGAGCTGCCACAGTTCAACGCCTCCGAGAGCGCCATAGCCTCCACCAGTGAGGGGCGGGGCCAGGCTGGACTTCCGGGAGAGTCCGGGGGCGGAGATGTTCAGATCACCACCTAGGGGAGGATCTGCGCATGCGCAACGCATGTGCCGCTGCCACCCGGAGTCCACTGCTGGGGATTTACTGTCCTGTTGTCTTCTTGGTGACCTATAACAGACTATACCAGTTAGTTTTAGGACAAGCGGTAGCTGTTTCCCCAAAAAGGGGTATCCTGTTTTTGCCAGTTTAGAAGTTCTGGCTAATGCATTTATTTATTTACGCATTCTTATTAGAGTTATGTGCTAGGCTTGCAGTAGTGCCCTCTTGTAGGCTCACAGTCCCCTGGATCAGGTTGAGTGAGGGTCTTCAAAAGTTGTGTCACGAGTGATGCACAGCTTCAGCACCACGGCCTCAACAACTCAAAAAATGTTGGTGAGTACACCAGCGTGTACTCGGCCCTGCCCTCAAATCCAAAAAAAATTACACCTGGCCGGAAGGCAATTTCCTAAGAAAGAGAAAAGCGATTCAGATTTTGTTGTTTGTGCAAGTGGCAAGTAGTGTGAAAGTGGCAAGTAGTGGGAGAGTAGTAGTTCAAAATAATCACATCAGTCTGCTGTTAAACTGATTTACAGAACATTGTACTTTAGGCAGGCTAGGATAAAACAACTGAACTTTGAAGTTAAAATCCTTTATGGCCCTGGTGCAAGGATGACACACAATTTCATGAAAAGTTCTATTTTTTTTTTAAAGGTATGGTTCAAGGATACAAACTTGATGCACTCCTTTCTTAATTTTAAACCATGTAGTGTTCTCTTTCCTAGTGCAATTTCTCTTTTTTTTCCTGGCTGCTGGTACCAAGAGTGTTGGTTATAGAGCCAAGCAAACTGAAGCTGTTAATAATCTCAATCTCTTCACCATCCATCATAATGCTGCCAGTTGGCCCAGTGGTGAGAATCTTTGTTTTCTTGAGCTTCAATCCATATTGAAGGCTACAGTCCCTGACCACCTACAGCAAACACTTCAGGTCCTCCTCAGTTTCAGCAAGCAGGGTTGTGTCACCTGCATAACAGGTTGTTGATGAATCTTCCTCCAATCCTGATGCCACATTTGTCTTCATAGAGCCCAGCCTCCCAGATAACCTGTTCTGCATATAGATTGAAAAGGTATGGAGATAGAACACATCCCTGGCATATAGCCTTCCCAATTTTGAACCATGCAGTATTTCCTTGCTCTGTCTCCTGGTTCAAGTATAGGTTTCATGTAAGCACAATCAAGTGTTCTGGGATTCCCATTCTTTTGTCAGAGACTTCTCCAAAGTATTGAAGAGCAATGATGTCAATTTGAAGACTAAGGTGCGCCTGATCCAGGCCATAGTCTTTATGCATCAGAAAGCTGGACAATAGGGATGATAGGAGAATTGATGCCTTTGAGCTGTGCTGCTGGAGAAGAGTATTGAATATATTATGGACTGCCAGGAGAACAAACAGGTTTGCACTAGAGAGGGTGAAACCAGTCTCCTTGAAGGCAAGGATTCTGAGGCTTCGTCTGACATACTTTGTGCATATTGCAAAGGACTGGTCCTTGGAGAGGGGTATCATGCTTGGAAGGGTGGAGGGATGGAGAAAGAGAGGAAGACCATCAATCAGATGGATTGATACAGTGACTGAGGTTATGAGGTTAGGTGTGTGGAAAACAATGAATTTGGAACAGGATAGAGCAGCTTTCAGGGCTGTTGAGCATAGGGTTGCTGAGCCACAAGTGACTCAATGGCACATAACAACAATATTGGTATCCCACAGATACCTGGGACCTTATTTTCTATCAATGCCTTCAGATTGAACTTCACTACCATTAGCTCCTGATCATATGATAGTGGTATTAAGTGCCAGTGAGTTTTAGACAACTCATAGCGACCCTATCTATGAATGAAAGTCCTGAAAAAGAAAACTTTCATCTTTTCTTTAAATTCATAGTTTCTGGAGGCAAGCTATTTCGGAAATGGATGCCACTCCTGCTTCCAAGCAAATGGCACTTCTGAAATATGTCAGTGCTGGTCAATTATTTTTGGTACATTGATCAATGGTTATGCCACTAAAGAGTCAAGATGATGACTAAATTGTATCAATTTACAGATGTCGCTAACTGGTGACTTAGTGTGAAAGTGTTGACAATTCTCAGCAAACATGGCTTTGAAGGTGAGGGGTTATTAGCTGCAGTCATCATCTGGAGAAAAGTCGGCTCATTTTCATTGGAGAAAGGGCTGCCAAGTTGGAACTGATTCAGAGGCTGTAAACTACATGGGAGATTGCCCATCGTTCTCTCATAGAGCAGCTGATGGTTTTGGCCTTTGAGGTAGCAGTGCAAGTCTTTACCCTCTAGGCTACCAGATCAGCCTTAAGAAGCTGCAGTTAAATGGTAGCTGATTATACACAGGATTTGTGAGAAACCCCTCAGAAGCACAAGAAGAAAAGCCTGGTGATCTGCTTCTGAAGTCAGCTCTGAAAACCCTATGTGCCTACTCTGTACTCATGTTGTTTAGAGTGGATACTGACAGCTATAACAACAATATGCACCCTCAAGCACATACTACCCAGCATAGGACTGGTCTAGTTAAAAATTTGCACGAAGTGGAAATGTAGAAAACTGGGCTAGTGATTAGTAACTATTTTACCCATGAAACAACCTAACAATTGACATCCGAGTACCCTTGGAGCATAACACTTATATTCTGAGTATGCCTGAATTGAATGCATAGGTATAACCTACTGCCACCAAATGATTAGGACTCATACATAGTGACCTTCCATTGAGATCTTGGACTGTAAATTCTGAGAGGAGACTATTCATCTTTCTCCAACAGAGCAGTTGGCGGGTTCCAACCACTGACCTTTGGGTTAGCAGCTCAACATATTATGTACTATACCACTACTCAATCATGAAAGTAATAATTTTGAAAACATAAAAATGAAATTTGGCAGGCATGTCCAGAGGAAAACTGAAAAGGGATTAAAAACACAATGATAGTCTCTAATTAAAATCTAGAATATGGGTATAAAAAGAAAAATGACAATGTATTTTCTTTCCTAATACAGTAAGATAAATTGATTCAAATGGCATGTTGTTTTTCTGTATCACTGAGTTAAATCAATCCATAGCTGACCCTCTAGTGGTTTCCTCCACAGGCAGGAACATACAGGAGTTGCCCATCTCTCTCAAATGAAGTAGCTGGTGGATTTGAACCATGTGTCTTTGGGTTGGTAGTGCAGCTCCTTACCACTAGATCATCAGAGATGGTATAAGTAGATCTTAAACATTTCAATGAGAGCTGTACATACATGCCTGAAAACAAGAAAAAAATTCCTAAAATAATGGGCAGTTTATTTAGTACTTGGTTCCAGGATAATAGATAAATTGGTAATTTAGCAGTGAAACTTAAAAGGACCTGAAATGTTTGCTGCAGAGGGTCAAGGACTGCAGCCTTCAGTATGGATTGAGGCTCAATGTCAAGAAGATAAAGATTCTCTCCACTGGACCAATTGGCAGCATCAGGATGGATGGAGAAGAAATTGAGATTGTTCACAGCTTTAGTTTGCTTGGCTCCACAGTCAACACTCTTGGCATCAGCAGCCAGGAAAGTAAAAGATGTATTGCCATGGGAAAGTCTGCTGTTAGGGACCTCTCCAAAGTACTGAAGAGCAATGGTGTCACTCTGGAGACTAAGGTGCGTCTGATACAGGCTATGGTCTTTGTGATCACTTGTTATGCATCAGAGAGTTGGACAGTGACTTAGGAAGGATAGAAGGAGAATTGACGCCTTTGAGCTGTGGTTCTGGAGAAGAGTGTTGAATGTACCATGGACTGCCAAGAAAACAAACAGATTAAACCTGAAGAGTATTAAACCAGGCTGCTCCTTGAGGCAACGATTCTGGGGCTTAGTCTAACATACTTTGGACATGTTGTAAGGATGGACAGGTCCTTGGAGAGGGACATCATGCTTGGGAGGGTGGAGGGACAGCGCAGGAGGGGAAGGCCCTCTATGAGGTGGATTGATTCAGTGACTGGGGTGATCGGATGGGTGTGTCAGAGGCAGTGCGATCAGCACAGGATAGAGCAGAGTTTAGTGCTGTTGTACATAGGGTTGCTATGAGTCGCAAGCGACTCGACGACACATAACAACAACGACAACAACAATAACAACAACAATTTAGCAATATTAATTGGTAATTACTTATTCAAGCTGTAGGAATAAAACCCATGTAAGGTCCAAGGGGGGCCACCGGTCATTTAGTGGTAGTATTCTACCTCCAGTGTGGGTGGAGCCAGCTCCCAATTCCTTGCTAATGCCTTTATGTGCAGTGACCAGAGGAGGCTTCCTGTGAGGCTGAACAGGTTTCAGCAGAGCTTCTGGACTAAGAAGGACTAGGAAGAAAGGCCTGGTTATCTGATTAGGAGAGAAAAAAAATAGTCCCAAATGAAATTATCAGATAGTGAAAACCCTTGGATCAAAACAGAATGTTTTCATTGTGTGGAGTGTTGAAATGAGTTTTTTAAAAAAAAGAAAGAAAATGAAAGTCTATGGCAGCTAATGGAAGTAATGTTAAAAGTAGACAGATTACTCCAAAGAAATTAACATATTTTAAGTAACAGAGGTAGAATCAACTATTTTAAAAAAGCTTTAATGTATAATGAGATAATAAAATTATCAATGAACTGGTGTAAGGGCCTCATAGAGTCTTTGTGCAGCCAGCTCCACCATTTCTCGGAGGGATTCATCATCTTCACTTCCTTCTTCACATTCTACAATCTGAAAGTGAAAGCACAAACATGCTCTTCAATTTGAGTTTACAACTATTATATGGAAGATCAACTAATAACTAGGTTTCCAAGTCCGTAAATCGTTCTGGAAGCACAGTGCCATATCTTTCTCCTGTGGAGAGGACTAGTATGTTCAAACTGCCAACTATTCAGGCAGCAGTTAAAGACTTTAACCGCTGCACTAACAGGTCTCCTTCATAATAACATAAAGCATCTATTATTTATTGAGTTATTTAATCTACCAGCTTCTAATTTTGTGGCACAGTCTACTGTGAGTTGCTATGCTAACCCAAATCTACCAAGAGCTCCTCAGGAGAAAGATGGACCACTTCCTTCCATTGTGATTTACAGCCTCAGAAACCAATGACAGGCAGCGGTGGAGAGGCAGTGAGTCTGAGGATTTTTAGTTTTAATTTTTTGGATATTAAAAAAAAACCCAACTTCATTGCTGTTATGTTGATGCTGACTCACAGCAGCCCCAGAGGAGAGAGTAGATGTGAGGGTTCTGAGAGTGTAAATCTTAATGGATGTAGACTGCTTGGTTCTCCTGCGGAGAGGCTGGTGGGTGCAAACTCCTGAGCTTTCAGTTAGCAGACCAACACTGGCCACCAGGGCTCTTTATTTTTTAAATATTGTGTCCACTTGCTGTATAGTGGTAACTTGTGGTCGCTGTGAAGCTGAACACTGTGACACTGACGTGGTGTCAAATGCATTAATGGCTACCCATGGTGGACAGTGTTTGGTGGAGCTCCCCAGTTAAAACACGCTTGGAAGCAGGAGTGACACCCACTTCCATGCTTGCCTCCGGAAACCCTATGAACATGGAGAAAGGATGAAAGTCACACAGGTGTTGAGGACTTTTGTTCATAGGGTCATGATGAGTTGCCTATGACTTGATGGCACTCAACAACACAACAAAAACAAACAATACTAAATAGAAACCCTTGCTCATTTGTCTAGTTAATTATATTCTTCAGTCAAATTTGGTGGAATTATGCGTTAAAGGTATAACCTTCTTAAAGCTTTTGAAGCATACCATCAAACTGCCTTACAGAGAGAATGAATCACCAAATCAATACTCCCTCCACCTATAAGGATAAATATTGTCTAAGACCATTACTGTAGAATGAGTATAAGGATCCAAGAGGGGTGGGTGAGCTGGAAGCAAAGGGATGTGGATGTACAGGGAGAAGAGGGGATTCATCATTGGATTGTACAATTTGATGAGTGGGGAGGGTGAGAAAAATTGAAAAAAAATTGTTCAAATTTGTATTAGAACTTTGTAAATAAACTAGTGGGAAAAAAATACTCCCTCTAATAGGACACAAGAACAGATATTTCACTATTTTTTTCATTATTACTGGGTCCTGTCATTTTTCACGATAATCCATATTTTCTCTAATCACTGAGTGAATGTAAAGATGGATTTCATATGTGTACTGGCTAGGTATATTTCTTCTCTAGTGAATTATTTATTCATGCCCTTAGTCTATTTTCCTGAGATTAAAAAAAAAATTTAAAAATTCTAGCCTTTTTCACAAAACACTCAAATAGTCCAAGAACACAAAAAATAAATTGAAAATATGTTATTTGTTTACATTTCTAATCTAAATAACAACCTTATAATAAAAGTAACAGTAATTTAAACTTGTGAAATAATTATACCAGATCTGCTAGTATGAGATCAGAACAGGCCTCATACCCTATCATCCTGTTTTTGAAATATCACTTGTATCCTGTTTGTGTAAAAAGAAGAGTAAATTCTTTGGAAAACGTAAGTAATAAAAAAACTAGAATCAACTAGATATCAAACTAGAGAAGTGTCGAAGTAAATTAAGTTATATACCAGAAAACACAAAAATAAAATAATAATAGCAATATGTATTATGCAGTAATATAGAAGAGCACTTATGTCAGAATGATAAATAAAAATAAAAAGCACAAAATGCAAAATTTCAAATCTGCCAATATGTAGGGAGAAGAACTTGATAACAAAGTAAATGTAGGAAAAATTAACTTGGAAGAGATGTCAAAATGAAAAGTAACTTGTCAGTTACAAGATTATGTCTTCCTTTATTTTCCAAATTTTCCGAAATGTAAGGGACATACCCGTGTATCCAAGTTTATATTTGCAGTTTTCCCATCTACTGTGACACTAAGAGCAGAGCCATCTTTGACACTGACACAGTCTTCTCCAAATATGTCCCTTAAAACAAACAAAGTTGCAACATTAGGAGAAATATAAATTACATATTTACACGGATCTCAGATCTAAAATAAAACACAATTATATATTTTTATTTATCCTCAAGATGGTCTTATTAATTTATTAACATCTGAAAATAGGTATAATGCTTTAATAAAGTTATTTATGAAAAAGGCTTTACTTGAATGAAAAGAAACTGTTCTTAAAATCTCACACACACACCCGGCTCTACTGAGCAGGCATTGTGCTAGCGTTCTAAGTACATATTATCTTACCTTACAATAACTTTGATACAAATCAAGACAACTATGAGTTATCATCTCATCCCAGTAAGAATAGCAAAATCTAACAGAACAGCAAGCAACAAATAAATGCTGGCGAGGTTGTGGGGAAACTGGAACCCTTACTGTTGGTGGGAGTGTAAAATGGTGTAACCACTATGGAAGGATGTATAGCGCTTTCTCAAAAAGTTGCAAATAGAGATACCATTTGACCCAGCAATTCCACTACTGGGAATATACCACAAAGAGACCATAACTGACATCCAAGCAGATATATGCACACCCATGTTTATTGCGGCTTTGTTCACAATAGCAAGAGTTGGAAACAACCTAAGTACCAACAAATGAATGGATAGAGAAGCTCTGGCATTTTCACACAATGAAATACTATGCTCCACTGAAAAACAAGGAACTCATGCAATATTATGCAAAATGGGTGACCTTGGAAGACATTATGCTGAGTGAAATACTTCAGTCACAAAAAGTCAAATACTGCATAATGCCACTGTTATAAAAAGAGAATTGACACAGGGGTTGGGGGAGACTGAAAAAGAGGGGATAAATTATGTATACGGTATTGAAACAGATGAGGGAGAGAACTGTTTAAAAGAGATATATGATTAGGTATTATTGTCATGACAGGAGTCCAGAACAAAGGCCGCATACTGGAGTAGACTTGGGAGGAGCAACTGTCTAACAATAAAAGAATTTTTCTTTTACTTTTCAAAGAGAAGAGTAAACTGGGGGGAGGTTGTGGAGGGAGAAAAGTGCAACAATGAATGAACTGAAATCCTAAGTCTCTGTAAACATTCATTAAAATTAATTTTAAAAAAGTATGATAATCAAGGAAAATATTGTTTTTTGAAATGTTGGCAAGAATTTTCTGATATTATAATACTGCACTATTGTATTCTCTTTATTTTACAGACCTTGTGAGTACTTATGTTTTCCTATCAATTAAAAAACAAAATCATTAAAAGTAAGTATGCTTTGTAAAAGACATAATGGTAAATAGTACTAGATTGATAAATTTCAACTAAAATAATTAGGTGTGCCTGATACAGGCCATGGTCTTTGCAATCACTTGCTATGCATCAGAGAGCTAGACAATGACTAGGGAGGATAGGAGAATTGATGCCTTTGAGCTGTGGTGCTGGAGAAGAGTACTGAATGTCCTATGGACTGCTAAGAAAATGGACAGGTTCATCCTAGAGAGGGTTAAACCGGGCTGCTCTTTGGAGGCAAGGATTCTGAGGCTTTATCAGACATACTTTGGACATGTTGCAAGGAGTGACCGGTCATTGGTGAGGGACATCATGCTTGGGAGGGTGGCGGGACAGCGCAGGAAGGGAAGACCTGCTATAAGGTGGAAGGATGGAGTGACTGGGGTAATCAGGGTGGGTGTGTCAGAGACAGTGAGATTGGCACAGGATAGAACAGAGTTTAGGATTGTTGTACAGAGGGTTGCTATGAATCTGACTTGACAGCACATAACAATTAGAAGAGACTGTAATTATCAGTGAAAATATTCCTCTTCATTGATATAAAGCCAAAAACCAGTACTATGCTACAATAAAATATTTTACAATACAAAAAATAAAAGTCCCCCAAACCCCGCCAAAACAGTAATTTTAGTATTCATGAGGAAAACAAGACATGGGTTTACCTGAAGGCCCACTGCCAGTAGAAAAGATATTCAAAACCTGGTTATCTAGGTTTATCTGGCACAGAAGGCCAGACATGTACCTGTTAACCTCCTTTTGATCAATTCTAAAAATCTATTTTGAGTAAGTAAATTCAATCCTTATCGAGCATTTCATTTTTGTTTGAAAAACTGTGCCAGTTTCTGGATACAGAAACCAAGATGACAGGGAGTTCTGGTGGCCTAGTGGCAAGAAGCTGCACTGCAATCCCAGAAGTATGCGGTTCAAATCCACCAGATGCTCTCCTGAAGAAGGAGGGGAAATCTCCTACTGTACCAGTCAGATCTGATTTGACAGTACACACAAACACACACACACACACACACACACACACACACACACACACACAAATAAAATAAAATAAAAATTTTTTAAAAGAAGAAACCAATATGACACCATCTATCAGTGAGAAACTAGTTTAATCATTAATTTCAACATTATTCCCTATAACTTAAAGAAGTACTTACAACTAGAAGTACAATCAGTATGTTGGTGCCAGGTAATTAAAAGTGGTCAATTAATCAAAACAACTATGAGATATCATCTCATCCCAGTAAGAATAGCAAAATTTAACAGAACAGCAAACAACAAATGCTGCTGAGGTTGTGGAGAAACTGGAATCCTTATTTACTGCTTGTGGGAGTGTAAAATGGTGCAACCACAATGGAAGGATGTATGGCGCTTTCTCAAAAAGTTGCAAATAGAAATTCCATTTGACTCAGCAATTCCACTACTGGGAATTTACCTAAAGAAACCATAACCACCAGCCTAGCAGATATGTGCACACCCATGTTTACTGTGGCTTTGTTCACAAAAGCAAAGAGCTCCAACTGCCCATCAACAAACAAATGGCTAGAGAAGCTGTGGTATATTCACACAATGGAATACTATGCTGCATTAAAAAACAAGGAACTCATGCAATATTATTCAAAATGGGTGACCCTGGGGGACATTATGCTGAGTGAAATACCTCAGTCAAAAAGGACAAATACTGCACAGGGCCTCTGTTGTAAAACAGGACTGACATCAGGTTTGAGGGAAGGCAGAAAAGGAGGGGAGGAATGATGTATATTGTATTGAAACAGATGAGGGAGAGAACTGTTTAAAAGAGATATCTGATTAGGTATTACTGTCATGACAGGAGTCCAGAATGAAGGCTGCACAGTGGAGTGGATTTGGGGGGAGGGATTGCATAATAATGAAAGAGTTTTTCTTTTCAAGGAGAAGAGTGAATGGGGAGGGGGATGGGCAGGGAGAAAAGTGCAACAATGAGTGACTGGAAACCCTAAGTCTCTGTAAAATTTCATTAAAATGAATAGAAATTTTTTAAAAAGTGGTCAACTAAACTAAAATCCATAAAGGTTCTTGGGACAGTCACAAATTGACAAAATATTACTAAATTAGTGTGTTGGGGATAATTATTTCAGCAGCACAGTTTCTTGCCACTAGGCCACCAGAGCTCCCTTCTTGTAGGTCATTTATATTAATGTATTTATAGAGACTTAGCTGAATATTAAGGAAAATTGTGTATTTCAAATACAGAAATACATAACTATCTTTGAATGTTAATAACAGTATCCTAAATAGAAGGATGGGGTAGAGGGGTTCTATATTTATGTAACTAATTATTGGGTGGTAAAGAATCCAATAATTAAAATAACACTTTTTAATCTGATTAACAGTTAGTTGGGGACTGGGAGCCTTTTGTTTAAAGCATTTAGGACCCAGGAGGTAGGGCTGTGTGATTAATAGCTGGTGGGGCTTGGGAGCCTCTTATTTAGCAGTTGGGATCTGGAAAGCAGACCTCTTTGATGAACAATCAATTGGGGGCTGGGAGCCTCTTGTTTAAAGCAGTTAGGACCCAAAAGGTGAGCCTCTGTGATTAATAGTGTGTTGGGTCCTCTGGCCTCCAGCTCCTGGGTCTTGTGTGAAGCCTGATTTGCTATCAGAGGTACAACACTAAATTGTCAGTTTGTTATATTTGGGGAATACATTGTTATAATTAGTACAGCACTTGTCTGTCAGTTTGCTGTACTGGGTTAACTTGTGGGTTGCTGTGATGCTGAAAGCTATACCACCTACCAGTGTGTCAAATGCTACAAGAGTCACCCATGTTGGGTAGGTTTAAGTAGAGCTCCCAAAATAAGACAGACTAAGAACAACCAGTTCTTAAGTAACAGGCCTCTGAAAATCCATAAACAGTAGTACAGGAACATGGATATTTATAGTATTAAAGGTAGAACACAGATTGGAAGTCAACTGATATAAGGAAAAATTGTGGCAAACATCCTTTAATAACTGGAACTTGGAACGTACAAAGCATGAATGCTGGAAAACTGAAACGGAAATGAAAAAATGAAATGGAATGCATGAGTATCGGCATTCTAGGCATTAGTGAGATGACATGGGCTGCCTCTCTCCACTTTGAAACAAGATAATCACGTGGTATACTAATGCTGGGAATGAAAAACAGAAGAAAAATGGTGTTGCATTCATAGTAAAAAAGTAAATGTCAAGTTCTATCCTGAAGTACAATGTTGTGAGTGATAGGATATTACCCATACCGATATAAGGAAGACCTATTAATATGACTATTATTCAATTATATGGTCCTGCAACTAAAGCCAAAGAGGAGAGAACTGAAAATTTTTACCATATCTTGCAGTCCAAAATTAACGAAACGTGTACTCAAGATGCATTAATGAGATACTTAGGAAAAAACCTAATCACAGACACAAAAGACCTTTACAAAGAAAACTACAAAACATTTTTTCAAATAAAAGACTTAAATACATGGGAAAATGTTTCCTGCTCATGGATAGGAAAACTCAATATAGAGAAAATGACAATCCTGTTAAAAACAATCCACATGTTTACTGCAATCTCAATACAGATACCAAATTATTATTTCAAGATCAAAAAAGTAATTGACAAGTTTATGATAAAGCAAAAAAACCCCTGAATAAACAAAGCACTTCTGAAAAATAAAAATTAAGTGGGAGACATAGCACTCCCCTACCTCAAAACCTACTATACAGCTGTAATAACCCAAACAGCATGGTACTGGTACAATGACAAGTACATAGACCAATGGAACAGAATTGAGAACCCAGAAATGAACCCATCTATCCACGGTCAACTGAAATTCAACAAGGAAACAAAACCTATCAGATGGGAAAATGACAATCTTTTCAACAAATGGTGCTGGACTGCTACCTGCAGAAAGCTAACCAGGATCCACATCTCACATCATACACAAAAAAATCAACTTAAGGTGGATCAGATACATTGGGAGTAAAGCCCCAAACCATAAAGTTCATAAGAGATAAACTGGGACCAAGCTTAGAAGCCTACCCTGTGGTATAAACAGGCTGACAAGTACAGCCAGAAATATATAACCAGGAAAGGATAAAATTGATGAATGGGACCTTCTACAGATTAAATCCCTGTGCACAACAAAAACTTTCAAATTGGATAAAAAGAAAATCCACTGACTGGGGGAAAAACGTTTAGCACTACCATCTCAGATAAGGGTCTCATAACAAACGTTTTCAGAATATTACAGGACCTCCACAAGAAAAAGATTAATTCAGTTACAAAATGGCCAAAAGACATGTAAAATCTTTTCAGGGAGGAAGACAATTTGGATGGCCAACAGAAACATGACAAAATGCTCAAAATAAATGGCAATAAGAGATACAAATCAAAATTACAATGAGGTACCACTTCACACCAGTTGCAGTGGCAAAGTTTAACACGACAGTAAGCAATAATTGTTGGAAAAGATAGGAAGAGATTGGAACTCTCATACACTGTTGGTGGGACTGTAAAATGGTACAACCATTCTGGAAGTCAGTTTGGTGTTTACTTAAAAAGCTGCACACAGAAATTTCATGACCTAGCTATTCCACTGCTAGGAATACAACCCAAGAAAGTTAGAACTAAGACACAAACAGACATTTGTACACCAATGTTCACAGCAGTGTTATTTATAATTGCAAGAACATGGAAACAGCCTAAATGTCTAACTACAATTGAATAGACTGAGAAATTGTAGTACAATCATATGCAGCACTCAGGACAACAATTTTGAAAACTACTACATAACTTGGGAAAGACTGGAGAGAACTATGTTGAATGAATTAACTCAGTCTCATGAGGACAAATACTACATAAAAATACACAAAATTAATGTAAAAATGGAAGGATAACTAGTAAAATGTGTATAGCGGACCAAGGAGGAAGGTATGGGAGCAGAGGAATGAGAGTAGGTAGGGGAAAAATTACAGGGGTGCACAGTTTGGTGGGTGGAGGAAGGGGATAAAGGAAATTGGAAAGATCTGGCAGGGACCTGAAAGGATAGGGTAATGATGGGTAGTTTAATGGGGATTAATTTTAGAAAAAAAGCACAACTTATGAGAATGATTGTATGAAACATAATGTGAATCAAGGAAAGTGTGAAACACAATGTATAAAAATTTTGTATGCAAACGAATAGAAAGTATTTAAAAAAAATTTTTTAAAGATGAATTAATGATAATCAGTGATTAGAATGCAAAAGTTGGAAATGAAGAAGGAACGGTAGTTGGAAAATACAGACTTGGTGACAGAAATGAGACTGGAAATATAATGACTGAAATGTGAATGTTTAATGATTTATTCATTGCAGATGCCTTTTTAAAAAAAACACAATTGGCAAAATTACACATGGACCTCACCTGATGGACTGCACAGGAATCAGACTGACTACATCTGTGGAAGGAATCATTGGAAAAGCTCATTATCAGCAGTCAAAACTAGGCTAAGGGTAGACTGTGAGTCAGACCATCAGTTACTCGTGTGCAAGTTCAAATTGAGGCCAAACAAAATGAAGACAAGTCTGCCAGAACCAAAAAATGATCACCTGAATTTCAAAACCACCTTAAGAATAGGTTTGAAGTACTTAACACCAATGATCAAAGACCAGATAAGTTGTGGGACTACATCAAGGTACTATCCATAGAGAGAGCAAGAGGTCTTTACAAAGACGGAGGGAAATAAAAACAGAAATTGATGCCAGAAGAGACTCTAAAAATTGCACTACAGTGTTGAGAAGCCAAAACAAGGGAAAACATGCCAAAGTAAAATAGCTGAACAAAGGGCAGTTTGAAAAGACAAGGCAAAGTATTATAATGGAATGTATAGAGAGTTAGAATTGGAGAATAAAAAGGGAAGAATTCACTCTACATTTCTCAAGTTTAGAGAACGGAAAAACAATTTAAGCCTTGAGTTGCAATATTAAGCAGCAGTCCTCAGAACAGAGCAAGGAAACACTGATGGTTCAAAATTAAGAAAGGAGTGTGTCAGGGAGGCGTCCTGCCTCCATACTTTTTCAATCTATATGCAGAACAGATCATCTGTGAGGCTGGGCCCTATGAGGAGGAATGTGGCATCAGGCCAGGAGGAAAACTCATCAACAAACTATGCAGATGACAGCCTTGCTTGTTGAACAACTGAGGAGGACCTAAAGTACTTGCTGCAGAAGGTCAAGGACTGTAGTCCTCCATATGGATTGAAGCTGAACATCAAAAAGACAAGATTTTCACCAGTGGGCCACTCAGCATCATGATGGATGTGGAAGAGATTGAGGTGAATGTCCAGCTCTCTGATGCATAACACGTAAAAGCAAAGTCCATGGCCTGGATCAGGTGCATCTGAGTTTCTAGACTGACACTGTTTCTTCTCAGTATTCTGGAGAGGTCCCTAACAGTAGATTTTCCCAGTGCAATTCGTCTTTTGACTTCCTGACTGCTGGTGCCAAGTGTGTTGAATATGGAGCTAAGCAAAATGAAGCTGTTAACAACCTCAAGCTCTTCTCCATCTATTACAGTGCTGCCAGTTGGCCCAGTGGTGAGAGTCTTCATCTTCATAATGTTACATTTCAATCCTTATTGAAGACTACAATCCTTGGCCTTCTACACAAGTGCTTGAGGTTCACCTCAGTTTCAGCAAGGAAGATTGTGTCATCTGCCTAACGTAATCTATTTGTGCTTTACTGACTGTGAAAAGGCATCTGACTGTGGATCATAACAAGTTACATGTAACATTGAGAAGAATGGGAATCCCAGAGCACTTAATTGTGCTCATGAGAAACCTATACCTAGACCAAGGGGATGTTGTGCGAACAGAGCAAGGGAACACTTTGTTATGTGCTGTCGAGTTGCGTGCGACTCACAGCAACCCAACGTACAAAAGCTCTAAACCCTGCTCTATCCTGTGCCATTCTTATTGCCTGATACACCTACCCCTATTACCCCAGTCACTGAATCATCCATTTCATCAAGGGTCTTCCTCTCTTGCGCTTTTCCTCAATCCTCCCAAGCATGATGTCCTTCTCTAAGGACTGGTCCCTCCATGTATGTCCAAAGTATGTCAGACTAAGCTTCAAAATCCTTGCCTCCAAGGAGCAGCCTAGTTTAACCCTCTCCAGGACAAACTTGTTTGTTCTAGCAGTCCATGGTATATTCAATACTCTTCTCCAGCACCACAGCTCAAAGGTATTAATTCTCCTTCTATCACCCCTAGTCATTGTCTAGCTTTCTGATGCATAGTAATTGCAAAGAACATGGCCTGTATCAGTCACACCTTAGTCTCCAGACTGACATCACTGCTCTTTAGTACTTTGGAAAGGTCTCTGACAGCAGACTTTCCCAATGAATTCATCTTTTGATCTGGCTGCTGGTACCAAGAGTGTTGATTGTGAAGCCAAGCAAACTAAAGCTGTTAACAATCTTAATCTCTTTCACATCTATCATGATGCTGCCAATTGGCCCAGTGGTGACAATCTTGTTTTCTTGATGTTGAGTGTGAACCCATATTGAAGGCTGTAGTCCTTAACCTTGTGCAGCAAGTGCTTCAGGTCTTCCTCAGTTTCAGCAAGCAAGGTTGCATAAAACAGATTGTTGATAAGTCTGACATCCAATCCTGATGCCATATTTTTCCTCATAGAGCTCCATCTCCTGGATAATCTCTTCTGCATATAGATTGAAAAGGTCTGGAGATAGGACACATCCTTGGAGTACACTCTTCCCAGTTTTGAACTATGCAGTGTTTCCTTGCTCTGTTCTGACGACTGCCTCCTGGTCCAAATATAAGCTGTGCATTAGCACGATCAAGTGTTCCAGGATTCCCATTCTTCTCAAAGTCAGCCACAGTTTGTTGTGATCTACACAGTCAAATGCCTTTGCATAGTCGATGAAACACAGATAGACATTGCTCTGGTCCTCTCTGCTTCCAGCCAAGAGCTATCTGACATTACCTTTAATATCCCTAGTACCATGGCCTCTACTAAACCTAGCCTGCACTTCTGACAGTTCTATGTTGATTTACTGGTCCAGTCTTTTTTGGAAAATTTTAGGCAGAATCTTGCTTGCATGTGTTATTAATGATACTCTTCTATAATTTCTGCACTTTGTCGGGTCACCTTTCTTTGGAATGGGAACAAATATAGATCTCTTCCAGTCAGTTGGCCAGGTGGTTATCCTCCAGATAACTAGGCACAATTGGTGAGCACATCCAGGCAGCATCTGTTTGTTGAAATATGTTTATTGGTATGTCATCAGTTCCTAGGGCCTTGTTTTTTTACCAATACTTTCAGAGCAGCTTGAACTTCTTCCTTCATCACCACAGGCTCTTGCTTATACTTTGTTTCATGAAATTCTTCTGTGTCAGCCAATTCCTTTTGATAAAATGATTCTGTATACTCTTTCCATCTTCTTTTAATGCTTCCTGGAACACTCAATGGTTTAAAATTAAGAAGGGAGTGTGTCACGGTGGTATTCTCTCTGCATACCTATTGAATCTGGATGCTGAACAAATTATGCAAGAAGCTGGACTCTATGAAGAAGAATGTAGTATCAAAATTAGAGGAAGACTCATAAAAAATCCTGCCTTAAGCAGATGACAGAACCTTGCTTGCTGAAAATGAGGACTTGTAGGAGCACTTGTTTCAGAAGATCAAAGATTGCAGCCTTCAATATGCATTATGTCTCAATGTTAAGAAAACATCATGGTAAGACAGAGAAAAGACTGAAACTGTGAGCAACTTCTTCTTACATGTATCTGCAATCAACACCTATGGTATCAACAGTCAAGAAATCACAAGATGTATTGCACTGGGGAAGTCTGCAGTTAGGACCTCTCTAAATTATTGAGGAGCAATGATGTCTATTTGAGGACTAAAGTGTGTGTGAGTCAGCCCATGGTCTTTCCAATCACTTGCTATGTGTCTGAGAGCTGGACAGTGACTAAGGATGACAGAAGAAGAACTGATGTCTCTTTTTAGCTGTGGTGTTGAAGAGGACTGAACATCCCATGGACTGCCAAAAGAACAAATACATAAGTATTGGAGAAAGTGTAGCCAGATTGCTCCTTGGAGGCAAAGATGATAAAGCTTTGTCTCACACACTTTGGGCATGTTGCTAGGAGAGGTGTTCCATGGAAAGGAACATGATGCTTGGAAAGGTGAAGGGTTGATGAAGGAAAGGAAGACCCTCAAGTAGGTGGATTGTCACAGTGAGTGCAGAAATGGGCTCTAGTTGTCAGGAAGTCTGAGGATGGCAGAGGAGAGAACAGGGTTCAAAGTTCGTGGGGTCACTATGGGTTGTACTCAAAGACAATGACCAACAACAACAACACATTCATTCTGATCTGAATGTCTGAGAAAAGATTATTTTTTTAGCATATGATCCCAACATGAAAGCTAAAATTACTGATAACTCACATTCCTGAGATCACTGTAAGTGTTGACTCTTTTTCTCACATGCTTTTCTACCAAATTCTGTGTCTATAAGAATGTACAGGATGAGGAATGGAGGCAATCGAGTGGTGCAAGCAGGAGTAAGTGAAAAAAGCTAGAGCGGAAAGTTAAGCGGTGTCTTGTAGCTTCCTTTGGCATGGCTTACACATGCAGTTGCTGTACCAGAAGGGATTAACTATTTTAGTGAACACAGATTTTTCTATTCTTTCAAAGCCCAATAGGAAACTGTTCTAGTTGCAGGCTCTAGCCAGTACAGGACACCACTGACATTCTCCCTGCCACAGCAAGGTTTTTTAACCTGGGTTTCCAGGAAAGGCTTTCAGGGATGTTGTTTAACTCCGTGAAATCCTGGATTATATATCCATTCACACAAGGAGAATAAGGAAAACCAAAGAGGAACTGATTCCTCCGAAATGTATTTCAAATAAATGGAAGAGTACTGAAGATACCATGAACTGCAAAAAGAACAAGTAACTCTGCCTAGGAGAAAGTACAACCAGGTAATTCCTCTGGGCAGGATATCAGGAGGCACTAGTCCTTGGAAAAAGATACCATCTTGGAAAAGTAGAGAGTCAGCAAAAGAGGGAAAGATCTAGGGAACTCTGGTGGCCTAGTGGCAAGAAGCTGCACTACAATTGCAGAGGTACACGGTTCCAATCCATGAGACGCTCTGCTGGAGAAGGGGGGGCGATCTCCTCCTGTACCAGATCCAATTTGATGGTGTACACACACACACACACACACACACACACACACAAAGGCGGGAAAGACCTCCAATAAGATGGACTGGCACTGTGACTACCAACAAGGGGCTTCACATAGTGGAGATGGTGAGCATAGCACAAGATTGGGTAGACTTTTTATCACTTCATAGGATTTCTATGAATCGTAATCAACTTAATAAAGATCTGGCGGCCTAGTGGCAAGAATTGAGCTGGAATCCCCATGCCACACAGTTTGAGGCCCCCGGATGCTCCGTGGGAGGATGGACAATCTCCTCCCATGCGATTAATTGCCTTTGAAAACCCACCAGAGAGTCAGCTATGCATCTGATTCAGACTCTACAGTACACAGTAATACCACTACCATCAACTTTATGGCACCTAATAACAACAATCAGCAAGGAGAATTCCACACCTTTTATCAGAGTGCCAAAGGGATCAATGATCTAAAGATGATTTAGATATTCTGACTGTGATGAGGGCTAGCAGGTCAGGCTTTCAGAAATACCCTCTGCCCAAACAGGTATATGCACACCTACATTTATTGCTGTGTTATTCACAATAGCAAAAAGATGGAAACAATCAAAGTGCCCATCAACAAATGAATGGATAGAGAAGCTGTAGTATATTCACACAATGCATAGACTGCAGCACACAGGTAATCTGATTTAAAAGATTATCCTTTGTAATATAAACAAAACATGCTAAAAATACAGAGACAGTAATTTCCATTTAAAGGTACTGTTTGTTGGTGCAAACTCTGGCTCTAGTAGCCCATACTTCTATTCCTGTCTTTCTGCAAAGGGTATTTCTTTTTTTATTTACTATACTTTTATTTTAATTGAGATTTTTAAAGGACAGTTTATAGAGAACTAACTTAGATTTCCATTAATTCATTGTTGCATATTTTCCTTTTTTTCACTTTTGAAAAAAAAAAATTCTTTCATTGTTGCACTATTTCTTCCCTCCCTCCCCTCAGTCCACTTTGCTATGCAGCTCTTACTCTGGATTGTTGTCAGGCAAATAATACCTAATCATACATTCCTTTTAAGCAGTTCTTTCCCTCATCTGTTTCAATGTAGTGTACATTATATATCATCTCTTTTCTTAGTTTCCTCCTAACACCCATGTTAGTCCTGGTTTATAACAGTGGCATTATGCACTATTTGTCCTTTTGTGACTGAGATATTTCACTCAGCATAATGTCCTCCAGGATCACCCATTTTGTAGAATATTTCATGAGTTCCTTGTTTTTAAGTGCTACATAGTATTCAATTATGTGAATATACCACAGCTTCTCTGTTTCTTTGCTGGTGGGCACTTTGGTTGACTAACCTGGGAGGGACTGGAGAGCATTATGCTGAATAAACTCAGTTCCACAATGACAAATATTGAATAAAACCATTTTTGTAGAATGAGTATAAAGATCCAAAGGGGGGGTGGTGGAAGCAAAAGGATAAGGATGTACAGGGGGAGAGGGGATTCATAATAGGGTTGGGGATGGACAATTTGATGGGTAGGGATTAGGGAAATTGGAAAAAACTGTTCTAGAAAACAATGTATTTGAATTTTGTAAATAAACTAGTATAATAATTAAAACCCAGACAGATGAATAGAGCTAAAGACAGATAAAATAAACAGATATATTATTTGGGGTTCTTTTCTCATCATTTAAAAATTCTGTTTGGTAATCATTGACATTTTCTTTGACCTTTTATTTTGACCTCAATTTTTACTGCTGAAGCAAATATATGCTGGTGTTAAGTGACTTGCTGAAGGTAAATGTATACATTCTGGTCTCAGAAAAAAAAAATAAAACCACAAAACCACAAAAAACAAAATACCAATAAGAACACTTTTCTCAAGATGTGTATGCCTTTGTATGCAAAGTCACTTATTTAAAGCCTTTCCAATTTTTAAAAGCTGCTGAAGAGCTGTCTTAAAAAAGATGAAGATTATGAGCTTAAAATGTTGGAAAAAGAAACAGAAATGTTAACATAAAAATCTTCCAAATATAATGAGTGCTTTCTTTGTAAAGATGTCCAATAAATAACTTTCAATGTTAAAAAAGAAAAGTGGTCATTTATTCAATAAGCATTTATAAGTCATTACTATGTATGAGGTACTGTTAGATGCTGAAATTATAAGAACTAAAGAATAAAAAAATCCTATTATCTTACCTCTTTTGGGGGCCTAATACAGAAAATACTAACAATCCACTACAAAGCTGCTTAGTATGTTATCTGTAAAATTATTCCTTAATCAGGGTCAAAGAATACTTGAGGAAATACGAAAGACCTAGTATTGAGTGTTTAGAAAAATACTGAGCTTAAAAGCAATTCATGGTCTACAGAGTTACTAAGGATAGTTTAGAAGAAAATGTCCTTAAAGAGGAAATTGTGCAACAATGAATGAAACTTTTTAAAGAGAAAGAGAACTGGGGTGGGGTGGGTGGGTGGTAAGGAGGAAAAATGTGCAACAATGAATGAATGAAAATCCAAGTTTTCTGTAAACTTTTGTTAAAATACTATTAAAAAAAGTCCTTAA